CCAGAGGAGTCGCTATCACAGCGATATAAAACAGGTCAAAATAAGCAGACTGATTACTGTTTATCCTACAAAGGGCTAAATAGATATCACACCTGGCAGCTAACTGTCCTTATTGTTCTTAAATGTGTGGTACATAAGGAACCTGCAACATGAACCAGGTGATGCAGGCTGCATGTCATGGAGTGAATATCACACATTGCCTGCGCGGCCAGCGGTTAAAGTCTCTACGTTCTAAATATGACTAATTGGCCTGCTGTTCTGCTTCTTATGATACCGGTTAGAACTCATTACTGGGATGTTCCACCTCACTGGGCTCCGGTGCTCCAGCTCAGATGAAGGGAATTAAACAAGCACACACACACACACACACACACACACATGATTTTATGTTTATATACTTTCAAATAATTGGTTGGTTTTATCTGTTAAAGTGCATGACAGCTTTTGTCCCTTCCAGCTCCAGTGAGGCACAATTCCAGTAATTTTTTTACCATTTGTTCATTAATGGGTAAATGTCCTCCCGGGGATTTCTGATACCTCTGCCAAGTCCACTCTGCTGGGCATTAGCTTGCAGCAATACCTTTTCTCATTGATTTGTATCTGCGCCTCCACCTTGCAGTCTGAGCGTTGGTACAAGATGGCTCGACACAAAATCCTTTCGGTGTGCCAGCGTCGTCGGTTACCGCAGAAGCAAAACAAACCAGCTCGTAGTGCACTTACATCACCTCAGCAACGTGTGCTCTGCAATGAACCCGGAGTGAGTTATTCGGGCTGCAAATCAACCTGTCTCCTGATATGACAGGTCCTCTTGATTCTGTTTTAAGGTTGTGCAAAACTTAAACAACAGTTGATCCAAATTGCCAAAGGCGCAGTGTTGATATGTGACAAACAGAAGGAGAGGCAAAGACTGAACTTTCGACTGTGATTCCTCACAACAAATCGGCCTGCAGGCTCAAAAAAGACGCAACAACACAAGTCACTTCCTGATGTAATAAAAGAGGCATTTAGAGCTCGTTTTTTAAAACTATGGGAGCCTAAATGGGTCATGTACGTTTTGACTATTATTTACTGAGCCTCAGGTCCCGGCTGAGAGATTAACAAACTCAGGGGAACAGACACACTGATAAGAAGTAAATCACATAAACCTAAGCACATCAATCTAAAGCATCCTCTCATTTGCATAATATCTGATTGCAGCTTCGTGCACTCAGGATTTACGAGGATTAATCACTTCTACATGCATCAACCGTGACGTGTCACTGTGTTTGAACGGTAAAGTATGCGAGGCACTAAATAGAACCAAGAGCTGTTCCAATATATCATTTTGTTGACATGCATGAAGTCAGAGAAAGACACTAAAATGCATCTGTATTAAGGATACAGATGCATTAACATATATAAACTTAAGCGATCAGTTTTTACTCATATTATCATTATTTATTGGAGTTCCCCAAGGCTCAATCCTCGGTCCTTTTGTTATTACTATTCCCATGCTTCCATTAAGACAGATTAATAATCCACCTATCATACTTCTGCAGCTTTCCTCTGAAGGTGGATTGGACCAATAAGTCATTTCATGTCATGCCATGCCATGTTTGCATCCTACATCCATATTGTATCCCCTCTAACCACTGCTTTTAAATCAAACATCTGTGTCCATCAATGATGACACACTTCCCCTGATTAAAAGAACACCATAAACACATGTTACTGTGGCCCTGGGTGATCTGTGCCCTGACTCCCCGCTGCAGGGTGCAGCAGCAGCCCTGCTCTTTGGGTACCATGTCCGCTCCCTCCTCATCTGTGTGCAGATATACGCTCCTCCCATGCTGGGCTCAATCAATCTCACACGCGCGCACACACACACACACACACACACACTGCAACTGTGACCTCCACTGACAGTTAATGCTTTGTGCAAATCAAACCAGCTGAGCTGCAAGAGAAAAAAAGCTCCATCGAGTGAGTGACTGTAAAGCTTGCAGCCGAACACAGCCGACACATTCCTACTGTGCCTGTTGTGAGTCACAGCCAATTACAACGCACGACATCGTGCGATATAAACGCGTTTTCGTAAATTCAGCTCTTACCTGCCCACAGTCTGGTTGGCGAGCTGTCTCATTCGGTTGAACTGCTTCTTCATCTTGTGTTTTTCTGCGTTACCACCGGGCGGTAGAGCAGCTCCGCATATCTCATTGATAGGAATAAAGTCAGATCTGATCTACGGCAGGCGAGGAGGGTCAGTCTTTAAACATCCACGTTTTTTTAAACATCCAGTGTTTGAGGTAAAAATCTCCTCATTTTAGCAGATGAGTGTCTCCGTCCTCCGCGTCGCTCCGCTGCTCCAGAGATGCTGGACCGATTCCTCCTCTCTCCCCCCCCCTCACCCCCCCAACACTGACAGCTCGCTGGCGACACGACGTCCCCAACCGGTGCACTGTGGGAAATGTAGTATAGTATAGATATCTTCGATACACACGTTTTTTAGCATAGCATTTTTTAGCACTTTAATTTAATAAAATCGATTAAATGTTGTACAAACAAAGAGGACACAACAACTGTAACAGCATGCATTCCCTCTTAAGTATTATACAATTAGAATGTATGCCTTAATTATTCCACTTTTCTTTTTATTATTTACTTACTTTTTAATGTTTTTATGTATTTATTTTTGCCTCCCTGGCATGTAAGTTTGAATCTGTGCAATCTGTGTTAATGAAGAATTCAGGAACACAGCGTTGATGTTGTTAAACTCCACTTATTTATTTTTGTCAATATTGTTGTTTTAATGGATATTAATACTCCTTTTTCTGTCTTTTAAAATGTGTTCAGATAAATCAATGCAAAGACAAGGGGCGCCATCATGAAATCCAAAATATAAAATTCTTTATGTTTTCGTAAAGGGGATAAGGAGAACACAGGACATGTGATTAACAGAGCCTACATATATATGCTGGAGCAGCAAAAAATAACCACGCAATTTAATTACAGTTAAACTTTAAGGGTGGCATAGGACAATGATTTCCAATTGAGGGTCGGGGCCCCCAAAGTGGCCCCAACATGAATCGCAGGATGATTAAATGGATAAAAATGTAATTAAAAATATATTCTTTTACCCCTGAAGAAGTCTAACAATCCTTCAAACTATCTGAAAAAGAAAAATCTAGCTTTAATTGAAAAGCTCGCGTCCACACTGAGGCTGTTCCTGACGAGGGGTCACTAGTGGACAATGATTAACATTAACGATTAGAGCAATTGATTCTTTAATAACCAGAGAACAGCTTAAGGTCATCAGGGTCTTAATAACCCTGTAAGCTTTGCACAAAAGACATTAAAGAAAAACTTAATTGGTGCCTCAGAATAGATCCCCTTAAGCCCATAATACTAACCATTATTTCTTAAAGCTACATTGTTTTGAATTGATAATAGTTCTTGATTTAATGAAGAAATTGAGCACATTTAAGTTTAAAACAATGCGTTTTGCTATCTCTGACTCGATTAATCTCAAAAGCTTTAAACATCTCGACTATTTAGTATTTTGCAGGTTAATTATCTGAAGGCCTGTACTCCAAATGCCAGACATGTTGGCCCATCTATAGTAATATAATAGGCCTATTTATAGCCCACAAAAAGGAAATGTCAGTACCTCGATGTTCATGAGGACAGTTAATTCTCCATAAAAGCTTTATTGCTCAAGGTTCAAGTCTTGAAGACAGATTTTAAGAGTATAGCTGTGTTCCGGATATGAAGCGTTAACTCCAGATTCACTGGATGTGATGTTTGGTGAGACTGTTAACTTTGTGCAGGTGAACAGCATCATCTTGTGGCTGTTAGAGACAAGTAGGAAACTCCTGCGTAGCTTCACTTCAGTTTGATCTGCAGGAGCAGTGATGAAGACAACACAAAGTGCAGCTTCAATACACTCCGTTGCGAGTTTATTAGGTATAAAAAGGTAAAACTACTTATAAAGTACATCATTTGTCAGGTGTTTTATTCACAAGATCAGACTTTCCCATCTTGTTATTTTATCTATAAACAGTTAGTTTTCTTAAAAGTGGTCAAGAATAAATATGAAAATATACAAAACCTTTAGACACATACACACATACATACTGTATATGTATACATTTATACATATTGTGGGTTTTTCGACTTAATGATTTAAAATATTTTAGGCTCAGAAAATTTAAGAAACAAATTAATAAATACAACAATTTAACTATTTTCACATCCAGTGTGTAATTACACTCCGCTGCCACAGAGGGCGCCAACGAGTCTTTGTTCAATGTTTTGTGGAGCAGCAGAAGAAGAAACTGTACTTGGAGTTTACTTGTTGGATGACAGTAGATCAAATTTTACAGGTTGCTGTTGTTAGTTTCTCTGCTCGGAAACAACTCCCTACATTTCGACGTCGAGTCCGGCTGCTTCTCCCCTGGAATAGAAAATGCGGGACCGAACTAAAGAATTAGGAAACGTGAGTTTCAAAGTAAACGGCTAGGGTTAGCATTAGCGCGCTAGCATGCTAACTTAGCCTGTTCAATGTGTTTATAGTGACTTAAGTGTTAAACTATGACAACTTTGACTAAGAAAGTACACCAATAAACGTGATTTAAAATAACAACGTGGAACGTTTTACGGCTCTAAATGTTAACTTTAAAGACATTATACTCTCAACTTCCGGTTCAGCCCTGTGTCCTTACAGGAGATGCCAGTCTGTTTGTGTTCTCAACATAAACAGATCTTTATTTTCTTTATATGTGTTTACATTTATTTGCAGAATGCAGAGGCTTCAGATGAGGATGAGGAGGGAAAACCTCTCGTGATCAAACCTGGAACCTCTTTAGCCAAAGAGGAGAAGGACAACGATGCTTTCTTTAAGAAGGTAAAACAGTTTGTATTAATAATGATGTTAATCAACATGCAGCTTTTATTTGATAAGGGACAGTGCACATTAATAAAAACATTGCTGTAAATGCGCCAAGAGGCTGTAGTCCCAAAGAGACAGATGTTACAAAGTGAACCTATAAACACATTTAATTTGTGTGAGTTTGGATTCAATGTTGGAGAAATAACTCTCATAACTCTGCTTGTTTGGTCCCACCAGCATCTTCTACCTAAAGATAATCAATACAATTATATAAAACGGAGACAAGCAGCGGTTTGCTCCCATTTCAGAAGCTAACCAGAGAATGTTTGGATGATTGATCAACAAAACGTCTTGTGAAATTAATTTTCTATTTATCAACTACTTAAATAATCAACTTTAAAATGTTTCTGCTTATGAACTTCAAAACTTACAACTTGTTTACGGATCTTAGGTGCGAGAAATCCACGAGGGTCTGCAGAGTCTCAAAGCGATGGTGTCGAAGCTCGAGAATAAACAGAAGACGGTGCTCGGGGTGGCGCTGCCGGAGGAGAGTAAGTATGATCATTAAGGCCGCCGGAGTACTGATCATATCCACAAAGTCCAAGAGCAACAAATGATGGAACAGGTTTTAAGTGCCGTTCTCCTGTTGGGGTCAGGTATGAAGAAAGAGCTCCAGACTCTTCGAGAGGAGATCAAAACTTTGGCGAGTCAGATCCAGAGGAAACTCAAGAGTGAGTACTGATGGAGGACACGTGGACTCTGTTTATTCATGTTTTGTGTACATGACTCTTTACTTATCAGTTATCTTTCTGCAGATATGGAACCGAAGAAGGGAGACGACGATGGAAAATATGTACCCATAAACACTCGGATGCAACGGACCCAGGTTGGATATCACCGACGCATCATCAGACCTCAGCTGCACGAAGGCTTTTTATTCCGCGGCAAAAGTGACGGAAATGTTTCCTTCTCTGCAGCACGGCGTCCTGTCGAAGGAGTTCGTGGAGCTGATGGGTCACTGCAGCACCATCCAGTCCCAGTACAGAGACCGCAACGTGGAGAGAATACAGAGGCAGCTGAAGATCAGTGAGTACAGCGGACACAGCTATGATTTCTGCTTCCAGGCTTGTGGTCTGAGGTCTTCTTCACGGCCGCATCGATCACTTCCTCCTCCGCCGAGTCTCGTGACGGCGGCCACGTGCCGTCTCCTGTCTCTCTGTCACTTTCTACGACACTCACTTCTCTTTTAAACCACCGTGTGTAACGTTTATGAGCTCTATAGAGATCTAATAAATGGTTTATAATGTAGTTTATGTTATAACTTCTCCTTTGAAGATGTGTATTTTTTCTAATATATTCACCTGTTTATACAGCTGCATTATGTGTTATAAACAAGTAATTAAATGTTTACATACTGCTCATGAATGGAGAGTAGGAGAGTCAAAGTAAAGCGTTATGATCGTAGAGCTGCAACGATTAGTCGATAGTTGATTAGTTGTTTGAAAGAGAATTAAATGCCATTTATTTTGATGATTGATTCATCGTTTAAGTTATTTTCAAAGCAAAAATAACAAATATTTCATGGTTTAATGAAGAGAATTTGCTGTTTTTCTTACTTGGCTTTTTGTGTGTTTAACTGTTTTAAAGACCAAATAATGAATCGAGAAAAAAACGAAATCTGTTAATTGCAGCCGTACGTTGTAATCGTTGTGTCTCCATCAGCTCAACGTTCACACAAACTTCACCGACAGGACGGCTCTTCTCTTTTCAGCTCAGATCGAGTTTTTGTATTTTCATTTTCAGTGTCTCACAACAACAACAACAACAACTAACGCACTTCTCACTTTCAGCCGGGAACGACGTGACTGACGAAGAACTGGATCAGATGCTCGAGAGCGGCCAGACGGATGTTTTCACCCAGAATGTGAGTAGGTGTGAGATGAGAGAAGAAAACCACAACACAACCATTACCTGCTGAAGAAAAGCACACTTACAGTTGCAGGTTCCCCCCCCCAACCACCAACCACCAACTAGTCGTAGTTGTGAACACTACTGAGAAAGTGTCTCTGCTCTGTTGTCGTCTCTCTAATCGTTCTTCATGGAGAACAGTCCTTCATTAGTCCTGCTGCCTCTAGTGACGTCTGTGGTGTGAAGCCTCCTGCTGGCTTTGATGTGCTCAGTCACACAGTGGTGGAAGGAGTTTAACTTGTAATGTAGTACTTTCTTATTTTTGGTACTTTTAGTGAAGTAAAGGAGCCGAGTACTTCTTCCACCACTGATCATAGATGAAACCTGCCGACTCTTGTTTTCTCTACTGATGATAATGCAGCTAACCCTCACTGTGGTCTTCAGATCCTGATCGACGCTCACGCCACAAAGCAGGCTCTGAATGAGATCGAGACCCGGCGCGACGAGATCCTGAAGCTGGAGCGGAGCATCAAAGACCTGCACGACATGTTCCAGTACCTGGCCATGGAGGTGGAGGCTCAGGTGAAGCAGCTCCGGGGGTGAAGTCTGTCTGAAGTCTTCGGTTACGAAGAGCGTCTGATTCTGATGTGTTTCTGCCTCCTGCAGGGAGAGATGCTGAACCGGGTCGAAACCAACATCAAGGAGTCGTCCAACTACGTGGAAAAAGCCAAGGACAACACGGAGAAAGCCGTCACGTATCAGAAGAAAGCGTTCAAGGTACAATCTAAAGACACCACGGACACATCTGTAGTGGGCCGACCGGCCCTTTAAAGAAACACTCCACCCACAAAGTGATGTGGGTGGAGTGTTCCTGTCTACTCCGGTCCACTGTGACCGCCTGCAAGCGGGAGATTGTTTATGCGGTTATAGTGTTATACTGTACATAAGGTTTTGAGTTTAAAGCATTTCTTTAAACTGGTCCTGCTTCACTCCAGGTTCTCACGAAAACCATTGGATCACATCTGTCCATTTCTGTCCACAAGCAGACGAGAAGACGAGTCGCTTCTCTTTCTGGCTGCTGACAGGAAATCCTCTCGCACTCAATATTCATATTTGTGAATACATGGTTTTCAGGTTGAATGATAAACTTCTGGTCATTACTAAGCTTTCAAAAGACAAATAACTGTCTTATTCATTTAGAGACCCTCGACATTTAGCTATTGAGGCTTTCAGGAGGTCTGAAGTGTCAAATCCTGCCCCGACATATTATATAGTTCTTTCTCGTTGGCTAAGGAATCTTTTGTTTTTTTTTGTCTCTCTTCCGATGCAGAAAAAGATCTGGATAGCGATCTGTTTGGGCATCCTCCTCCTCATCATCATCATCTCACTGGTCACCGCCTTCGGCACCTAACACCAGGCAGTGTGCGCTGTCAGCTGGAGACAAAGAACATCCTCTTTCATGTAAATAACTTCCTCCCACAGGATGTACGGGTGAATGTATTCAGCTGTCATCCCTCTGCTTTTCACACCCGTCTTCCTCTAACCCTCCTGTCGTCCCAACGGCCCTTGTTTTGTTTTTTTAAAGAAGAAATGTGCTTTTTACTCCCAAGTGACTTCAATCTCACCCACAATTCCACTCAAGAGGTAGTGCTGCTGGTTTATGGAAACCCCCCCCCCCCCAGGTCTACAAAACAAAGACAATTTGTGAACTGTTACGTCAGTGCTCCTTCTTAAAGAATGAAATAAAAGAGGAACTAAGTGGCCTTGAGCAAAGCACACTGCAGTGTTGAACTGATCGTACTGTACTCAGGAAGCTGTGCGTCGTTTCTGGAGGAAGTAGAGTCAGGGTTTCTTTTATAGACCAATATAATTGTACATAACCGTATATTGCTGGTGATCAAGACATTCTTTAAAGATGTTTCAAACTGCCTACATGGAACAAATGTAAATAGGTTTTTTTGGTGAAATAGTTCAGCCCCACTCTCGTTTTATGTCTCATCACTGCAGTAAAAGGCCCGATTTTATTTGTATTTATGATTTAAAACATTTGCTGAGCTGCTGCAGCCACACATTATGAAATCTGTATTTTGTGCCTTCTTAACGTCCAGCTGAGACTGTCACGTTGTGCACTAACATTGTCAAGAAGGGACGGAGAGACTTTTTAATTTGTTTATATTTGTTTTGAATTCACGCAGCAGTGTTTAGTCAGACACATTTAACTTTATTTTTCTTCACCCGTTTTGTCACGTTGTGCAACTTGTTTAAATCCCGGAGCAGGTGATGCGTTTACTAACCTGTGAACACATTCACACGATGAGACAAACGTGTCAAGAAAAATAAACCAAAACGGTTTGTTAAGTCATCAAAGTGTCCTTTGGAATCAGGAAGTAAGAAGTGACGCATTTCAACCTAAAATAAACTTCCGGTTTGTTTCATTATTCTGTCTTGTATCATTAACTGTTACACATATGTTTGACTTCACACCGTCACAGTATTTTGGTTTTCTCACCACGATTAAACATCAACACAATGAAAAATGGAAACTAATTTTTGGTCTTTTTATTCAACTGTAATTGTCTTAATTGTTAAAGTAAAACAATGTGGAATTACAAGGGATCAAAGGAATGCAACAAATGGAGAGAGACAAATCAAAAATAAGACCATCACCATAAACTACCCCCCCCCCCCCCCCAAATATCCAAAAGTAAATCGACAATTTACAGTCATCTGGAACTGTACCAGTCATTTTATTCACATTTTTTTTTTTTTTTTTTACATGAAGTGATGGTGACAAAAAAAGAAATGGGTGAAAAAGAAACCATTAGTCCGGCAGCACTGATGCACCCGGTGCTTTTCTTGATATTCTGGGTTTTGTCGTTTGTTTGGCTTTATTTTAATAACGAGAGAAGCTCAACACCCGAGCTTCAGGTGCTTCACAAGGCAATCTGAGGTTCAAACCCATTTGGCCAAAGAGGCACTCTTCATTTCAACAACTTGTCCTTCTGATATAAATACATAACGAAGTGGACCGCAACTATAACTGCCTTTGGGAAGATTTGGGGGGAAATTACTTGTTTTGCTGCTCCAGGTCTGACCGGCAGCAAAAGATGTTCCAAGACAATTTGCAACTTCAATTAATACATTTTCAAGGTACCAGGAACCAATTAATCGACTGAAGTTGATGTTAAACTCTAGAACTACACCATGTACTGAAAAGCCGAGGGCCACAATATCAGATGTGCAAATGAGAAATGCAAGGCTGGATTTAAAAATGAATCCGATGAACAGAAACGGACAAAACAACAAAAAGAAAACTGCGGGGGGGGGGGGGGGGCAAGCAAAGACAAGCTCCAGCATAGTGCAGCAAAGATCACATTGACAGATCTGGTCTCCTCCTAATACCCTGGAAGAAATAATAAAATATGCATAACTTATCAACTGACTACAAAGAAACAGTCAGGACAGCTGACGAAATTTATCAAAACCAAACTCTCTAAAACCTCCAACTTACAATACAACTGGTCACTCATAAGTTTTTAATGTCACACAGATGACGTTTCGTTTATGACCCTAATAGAGGGCGCCGTATAATCCCATCTTAACACAGAAGATCTGAGTGTTCCAGTCTTTAATGATTACAGTACATAATGTGAACTAGCAACTTTCCTTTGCACCTTTGTCCCCCTAAAGTCCCAGTGGTGAATTTATCCACTGTACCATCTCTCGGTCTGTTTTGCGGACGCACGAACAGTGGCGCCACATTTTTTATTTATTTTTTAATTTTTTTTACCCGACATCCCCGAGCCTTCCCCCAGCGTGACAATGGCTGAGCTGGTGAGAGGACCAGCTCCGATTGGATGAGGGAGAGGGCCCAAGAGGCAGGGAGGTCCCTGGCTTGTGCAGCACTCAGTCCTCCTTGCATTCATTAAGAGTGCACACAAAGCAGCAACCGTGGGGAGGTCGTGACATGCTCTCGTAACGTGTTCGGCAACAGCACTTCCCGCTTCCATTTTTATTCATTTTTTTAACCCCTTTTGGCACTCTTGATCATGTCTTGTTGTGTCGATGTTGACCAGAAGAGGAGCGGGTGCTGGCAGCCGGTGACCTGGCCTGCACCGCTGCGAGCGCGGCGACGCTACGCAGCACTCTGTTCGCCGTCCCCTCCGCTCCCGAGCTGCTCGTCACCTCCTGCGAGAGCTTCTGGGACCTCCTGTCCCTCCGACTCTCCCTGTGGTGGCCCCGCTTGTCTCTGCTGCGACCCCTCTCGCTGCCGGAGGAGGCTGCGCGGGACTCCCTGTGTTCCGTGTTTTGAGAGCTGATACTGTGGGTTCGCTGGCTGCTGTTGCTGCTGCTGCTGCTGCTGCTTCTTCGGCGGCTTCTGCTGCTGCGTCCGCCGTCACTGCTCATGCTGCTGCAGGCGCTATGGCCCCGGGACGAGGACTGCGTCTCGGCCTCGCCCTCCTTTCCCCTCGACGACTTCCTACTCCCTCTCTCCTTATCCTCTGCTCTAGACCTCTTGTACTCCAAATCCATGGGTGGAACTAGAGAACCGGGGCACTGTCTGGTGGAGCGGGAGGCAGAGCGGCTTGTCTGGTTGGGCGTTGAAGGTTTGCTGCCACTGCTTTTATTATTGGTAAGATTTACAGAGTTAGTCTGAGGGGAGGCTGGTACACCTTTGCTTTTCAGCTTTTGGTTCTTGTCAGAGGAGGAGGCCTTAGCACCAGGGTCTCTCCGAAGGGTGTGGCCGGGGGTGTCCACCCTGCCTTTCATTGCTAGGAGCTTGGCTGCCGCATTGAGTGCAGAGCACCTCTTCCCCAGAACTTCGGGCTCACGAGGCAGCGAGGGCACGCTGTTTGTCTGAGCTTTACTGTCTTGTGAAGGCTGAGATCCTGCAGACTTCCTGGTGACCCGAACAGAAGATGTATCACTGCCCGACTCTCCACCCGTGGATGGGTTGGCGTTGTTTGATGCATTTCTGTTGCTGTGCGCAGATTTCTTTCCATGCCGGCCGTTGCCCTTTTCCTTCTCGTGATCTTGTAGCCCGTGCTTTGCTGAGCGAGTCAACCGGTGCTCCTTCCTGCGCTTACTGTTGTCAGAGTCCGAGGAGGTGGAGGAGGAAGACCTGGAGCACCTTCCCCGAGAGGTAGCGGCGGTGAGCTCCTTCTCCCCGCCCTCTTTGTTCTTCTCCTCCTTCCCAGTTTCCGAGGTGACGTCCATTCGCCTCTTCTTGGTAGGGAGTCGATTCTCGTAAGTCCTCTTGTGGTGAGCTTGACGAGTGAGCGTCGATGTGGAGCACCCAGACGATGACGAAGAGGAGCGAGCGGACTCCTGACTACTCTGGCGACTAAGAGGCCTTTTCTGGATTGGAGTCTTCTGATCTTCAGTAGTTTTCTCCACCTCCTCTTGCTTGAGTTCTTCTTTCTGAGGGGCAGCTGCAGGCGGCGCTCCCTCCCTTCCTGACTCTAGGTCTTTGGTCTCCGAGGAACTCTCCACCCTTCTTCTTTTAGGCTGAGACTTACACGAGTCCTCCTTTTTGTCATCCTCCTCCTCCTTGCTGGTCCTTGCGCCATCCTCCACAGCATCTACTTCCATTTCTGTCCCCGTGTCCAGGTCACCTTTAGATGCAGACACTTTCTGCGTTTGCTCTAAAGTTGGTTTCTCAGATGACTCACTAGAAGAAGCAGATGTGGGTGTCCGGGGCAGGGCCTCTGTCTGGGCTGGTGCGGACACGTCACTGGACGCAGAGCTTTGCACTTGCAGGGGAATTACTGCAGACGTTTGTGTGGTGCAAACCGGAGGAACGGCTTTGGTTGGGGCAGCTGTGGTAGCTGCTACTGACTCAGGGGTGGCTGTGGTAGTGGATGCTTGGGTGGCTGTGACAACGGTTGTGGTAGTGACTGCAATGGACTTTTCTGGGGATGATGTAGTTGTGGTGACTGTCGGTAATGGAGCTGGTGTAGAAGTGGTTACGGGAGGTGGGATCTTGACTGTCTTTTCTGCAGTTGTGGGCGGGGTAGTTGACGTTGTGTGTTCTTTGGAAGGGGCTGCTGCTGCTGCTACTACTACTACAGGGATCGTCTCTTGGACTTTCTCTGTTGGGGACGATGTAGTTGCTGTAACTGTCTTAGCCTTGGCTGTGGTAGTTACACTGGCAGACGTTGTTGGGGAAGGACTACAGGTTGGGGTTGGTACAGCACAAGGTTTTGCCGAGGACGCGCCGGCCACAGGAACAGCAGATAGCTGTCCATGTGTGGCCACTTGAGCCATTGGTGGTGGTGAGGTTGCGACTGGTTTGGTAGCTGTCACATTAGTCCTTGCTTGGTTTGGAGAAGATGCAACTGTACTTGCAGCAGATACTGAGACCGTTGTTACTGATGGTGTTGTAGAAGCAGACATGGTTGGGCTCGCAGTGGGAACTGTGCTCGAGCTAGTTGGACTAGCTTGGACTGTTTTTACCGTCGTCGTCACAGTTGTTGCCGTCGTGGGGAAAGATGTTGAGGTCGCTGAAGCTGAAGCTGAAACCTTCTGGGTGGCAGTCGGAGCAGAGGTAACAATAGCTGCGGTAGATGTTGTAGATGACAGAGCGGAGGCTTGCGGCAAATCCTTCACAGCAGTAGTTTTAGTTGTGACTGATTTCACTGTAGTGGTGACTGCTGGTGCAACGCTGACTGTTTTTGATATCACATTAGAAGTAATCGTTGTGTCGGGAACTGATGCGGGAACTGATGCGGGAACTGATGCGGGAACTGCGTTGACGGCCACAACAGAAGATGACACAGTCGATGTCGTGGCAGCTGGTGTGGTATTGTGTGGTCCTGTTGATTTCACAGTTGTAGAAACTGAAGGTTTTGGTTCTACTGGCGCTTTAGAAGCAGTGGAAACCACAAGTGTTGGTTGTACACCGGTAGGAGTTGATGCGACAGTGCTGGCAGGTGGCAAAGGAGTTGTGGTAGTTGGGGTAGCAGTGGCTGGGATAATAGCAGACGTAGAAACAGGACAGGACACCTGGGTTAATGCTGGGTCTGCACTTGGAGCTGTAGCCAGAGCAGAACTTACGCATTGGGCTGAGGCAACAACAGAAAGAGGTGCAGGTGCAGTGGGTTCAGGTGCAGTGGGTGCATGCACTGAAGCTGCGACTGGTGTGGAAGCTTCATCTGTTGTTGTGGGGGATTGAGCTGGATTTGGAGCCAGGGCTGAAACCTTAGTCTTAGTGTCTGTTTCCTCAGCTTTGGTAGACTGGGATGCCTGACTTGTAGTGACAACAGCAGCTATCGGGGTCTCCGACTTGTTTGGAGACAGAGGTGTTGGCTCTGTGCTAGCTTCAGTTTTTGATAGATCAGATACACCAGTAGGGGTGTTCTCATTTTTAGAGTTCTGTCCTTCACTGGCAGTTTCTGGCGTGGTTGTGGAGTCTTTGCGAGGACGACCCCTCTTACGTTTTGGAGAGAGGGGGGGGTTCCCTTCCTCACTTGGCAAGGTAGGCAGTGGGGAAGGGGCCACTGTGTTGTCAGGCTCAGGTAACCTAGGGGGAGTCTTCGGGGGCCGGCCCCTTTTTCTTTTCAAAGGTGTCACAAGAGAATTGGACTCTGTGGATGTTGAAGTGGCGTCTTTGCCTGGTGGTGTGTCAGTTTTTCTGGACTGGTTCCATCCCCTTCCTCGGCCCAGATGCTGCTGTTGCTCTATCAGCTGAGCAGCCATGCGAGATTCAGTTTCCAACCTGCGCCGCACAGGAAGATTTCTCAGCACGGGCATGTCCGGAGAATGATGGGCTGGAGAATATGGAGGATAACTTCTGACAGGCGGCAGGTGCACAACCGGACTAGGAGTAGATTCCTGGTCCTGAGGAGATTTGGTAAGGGCCCCTTTGCTTTTGTTGTCGGGGCTTGGCGATGTGTCTTTGTTTGTTTCATCGACGAAGCCGGCAGTGTTCTCCTCCACGGTTGCCTCCTCTGAAGAAGCTCCACCTCCAGTGCCGCTTCCTCGCCGCCTCCTCCGTCTCGGCTCCTTCTCCTCCACCACCGTGACCAGCCGCCCCGGAAGCTTCCGCAGGACTTTGGCCGACGGAGAGTCTTCAACCAGGCCCCGCAGGACTTCACAGTCGGCTGACTGACGCTTGCGAGGCGATCGGGAGCTGGTGGACGGGGGAGACATGGCGCTGTGGTCTTTGACGTCATGTTTTGCCTGATGGTCCACCGGGCAGCTGGATTCTAGCGATGACTCAGACGCCCTCCTCTCGTTCTCCCCCTCTTTGTCCTCTCTGCAGGCTTTGAAGGTCTTGCCGTCAGTCTCCCCAACACACTGTGGTTTCCCTCCGGGGGGAGAGGCTGTAGGAGGGGAAGGGCCTGGACTGGGATTGGAGCGGTTTGGCGGAGTCCTGGTTTTGATGGTCTGGTGATCTCTGGCAGGAGAAAGTTTGGAGGAATCTTGAAGCTTGGTTGATGAGGTTTTGTGATGGTCTGTGTGGGACGGGGTGGTAGACACAGCAGTAGTGTCTTTGACAGCCCCTCGTCCTCTCAGACCACAGCGGAGTCTTTCAGGCACCTCTCTAGTGGGCTCGGGCTCAGGTTCGGGCGAGGCCCCACGCAGACGACCACTGGTCCTGGTAGAGGTGACGATCTTGTCCTTGTCCTTGGGTTTACGGCCACGGCGGGCTGGCTGAGCAGGCTCCACAGAAGCAGGCGTTGACGAAAAGTCATCGTCGTCCTCTTCGGATGACGCGTGGAGCTTTAGGCCCTCTTCCTTGGCCTGGTCAAGGCCCTTCCTAGCAGCCTCCACTTGCTCCTAAACACACACCAGCAGAGCGGAGTTACAGTTGTGGTCATGGTAAACAAGTTGAATTTATCGAATCAAACTTCGAGAAAGCTGAGCTGTTGAGACACAGTTCTGTCATTTCAAACTAAGCAAAAAGGTGAAGATGTGTCGTTACCTCCGCCTGCTTCAGCTCCTCTTTGCATACGTCTTCTAGCGAGGCCTCCAGGAAGTTCATGGCGTAGCGTTCAATGGGAGTGAGCTGGAGACAGGCAGAGCATGTGGTGAGTTAACAGAGCATAAACCAAAGCGATAATGCAGATGTGCACCAGAAGTTACTTTATCATATTTATTGTTTGTATCAAAGATGTATAATCCAGCCATCCAAGAGCTCAAACCAATGTTCTATCCTTAAAATAACAATTCAACAGATTAAGATTACTCACCTGCTCCACCAGAGCAGCGATTTCCTGCTCGGCCTTTGAGAGTTCCTCCACCTCCTCTTGTTCTCCTCCATCATCCAGCGGGATGTTCTCGTTGAACTCCGCCAGTTCTGCCACCTGCTCTGCTTTGGCCTGAGAGGCGGCGACTATGTCCTCCTCGTCCTCTGCTCGACACAGAGCCTGTGAGAGTCAGTTCAAGATGATCACGTTATTCATACACACACACAACAGATATTTTGGAAACGCCTCGTTGTTTTGATATGTTTGACGGTTTCAAATGAGGTTTAGGTTAATAAGTTCAGCAACAGCAAGTCCCAAAAATACAGCAGTCACGGGTTTAAGACACTTTAGCATTGGCTTCAGTTTAGAACCGGAGGTTGCCTCCTTTGTTTATATAATTCAATGTGATGCATCTGACCTGCTCCAGAATGGTGGTGCTCTGTTTGTTGACAGCCTCCTCCTCCTCGACTTGAGGCACCGACAGCTCCACCGCCACCTCCCTCTTCTCCCCTTCGTTCATATCAAACAGATCTCGGATGGTTTGCTGAGGAACAAAGTAAAAAAAGGAAAATGGTTCTCTGTACTTGAAGAACAATAAGGAGATACTTGAACGGCTTGATGCCCCAACGTTAACGTACCCAACAAGAGCAGTTGTGCTAATGCTGTCATTGATTCAATGGATTAATGAGAAAATGTTGCAACGTCGGCATACTTCAAACCGCACAAGTGGCATTACTAAAAACATGTTTAATTAAAGTGGACGAGGGCACAGCCAGTGCATGTTTGTGTTTGGATAAAGCAATGATTCATCACCACGTGGTGAACAGCTGATGAGACAGAAGAGAGAAATAACATACTTCAATTTCACTTTAAGCGCCACACTTTTATATGAAGTGCAGCCGGTAGTAGAAACAGTGAGATGTGGTAAAATAGATGTTATCCTTATATGAAATTATATAATTTTAATAAAGTGGGGTATTGTGTTAAAACAAAGGCTAACGTCGGTAAAATAAACATTAAAATGTAAATTCCTACCTCTTTGAAGAAGGCCGTGGTGAAGTTTCCTCCTTCGATAGCCATATCTCCCAGCATCCTCTTCTGATTGGCTTTCTTCAAGATGTTCTCCTCCACTGTTCGCTCGCTGATCAGCCTGAAGAGGAACATTTAAAAAAATGTTGTTGAAATCACATTGTTCAAAAGTAAGGCCTTAAAATAATATATTATTGATCAAACTTTCCAGTTCTCACTGACATATTCCTTGTTTGTCTCCTTCATACACCATCCATCTACCGTCTTATTGTGTCCTCATCTTCTGTTTTGCTTTTTAACTTTAGTCGGGACTTTTACAGGACATTTAACACAGACATTTTGACTTTTCAACAAATATGCATGTACCATTAGAGTCATCCATGTGTGGATCTACATTTAGACAATAAACTTACAAAGTCCCAGAACCTTTTACTGACCACAGAGTCTCACCACTCTTCTGTCTGGTTAAGAACACGTTATACTTCCTGTTTTGATTAATGAAAGTGAAACTGCAGCCGTAAGCAAACACACGTGACAAGAATTTAAGAGGTTCAGCCTTTTCCCTACTCGTTCCTGTTCCTGTTCACGCGTGAACTCCGTCACTACATGTGTCGCTCCTAAATAAGTGCACTTTTAATCCGTCACCTGTAGATGTGGACGTCTCTGGTCTGGCCGATTCGGTGGCAGCGGTCCTGCGCCTGAGCGTCCATGGTGGGGTTCCAGTCGCTGTCGTAGAACACCACCGTGTCGGCCCCGGTCAGGTTCACGCCGACGCCTCCGCTGCGAGTCGACAAAATGAAGCAGAAAATACGCCGATCTGCGTTGAAGCGCTCCATGAGGGACTGAAGGAGAAGAAAGAGGATGCACAGAGAGATTAAGCATGAGGTCAAAATCAAATTCTATTTTCACCCCCATGGTCGTGTTGAAAGCCCCGTCACACTCACCTGTCTCATCTCCACACGGGTGCTGCCGTCCAGACGGAGGTAGATGTGTCCGTGGTAGTTGAGGAACTGCTCCAGCACGTCCAGCATTCGCGTCATCTGAGTAAAGATCAGCACTCTGTGGCCTCCCGTCTTCAGCTTCCTCAGCAGAGTGTGCAGAGTCTGCAGCTTACCTGCACGTCATAAAAAGACAAATTATTTAGGAAAACAAACAGTCACCAATAGAGTTTTTAGAGTGCATGGAGAAAGTAAACCTCCCCTGGAAGAAAACATGAATGTTTTTAGTCCCATTATAGGATGAGGTCGTGGTGCACTTCAGCCTCTTGTGGCCAAAGTTAGTATTACAACAACAAACACTTTCACAACAGAAAAATGACCCTACAAAGAAAAACTTCACCTCCCTAAATAAAAAAATGACTTAACTTAAATAGTTTGTAAAATAAATAAGTTGATGAACAACAACTACAGCTTAAGGTGGGCTGAACTTTAAGGTGGACCAGTGCTATTCTCCTTTAGTGATCCTCTGAGTTTTCCATTTTTAATATTTCTTTTAACTGATCGCACGGTTAAACAGTTAATTATTAACATGGTGAAAAACGGTTTTGCCAGAATAATTTTCATAAGTTATTACATTTTTAAGTCATGATCACAGTAGAGAACACTTAGATTAGTCCAAACAAACTCTCAGCAGTGAGCTTTAATACTGTATTTGGAGTTTCTCTGCTCTTTGTATCGAACATGCTTACCACAATCATACTGGATGAGCCTCAGGTCTGGGAACTGGGTCCTCATGTAACACTGGATTCGATGGAGACTGCGAGTACGCGGAGTGACTTGAGTCGACAGCAGGGAGGAGAAGACTGCCTGCTTGTGGCTCAGCGAGGGAGGAGGATGGCAGCAGTGCATGGAGATCTGAGGAGCCTCCACTGGGGGAATCGCAAATGTAAACCTAAAGATGGGCACAATGAATAACAGTCAAGTCACAAATCTTTCCTCTTAGTTAAAGCTCTGAACCCCAAAACAAGCAAGTTCTCTTTAAACAAATCCCAAAACTAAACCGTTTATCCTAGCCATGAAAGAAGTGTCGTGGATCAGGTATCTACCGGTCTATGATGGTATTGAGCAGCTGCAGCCTGTCATCAATGCGTTGGATGGCCTCCCTCACGGCACGACTCTGAAACCAGAAGTCGGATTCGTTTTCCCACTGCGAGTAAAGAGTGCTGCTGTGGCCCGAGCGACTCCACTCCCTCTGAGGGCGCAGGGCGGCCGGCGAGGGCCGGGGGCCGGGGAGGAAGGTCAGGAAGTCCAAAACCTCGCGGCCGTACATGGGCTTCGCCGCGCAGTGGTTCTCGTTGACCCGGATGATGAAGTCCAGTCGGCTGTCACGCTGCTGCTTGTGGCTGTCTGCTAGCCACTTCTGTTGAGTGAGAGGGAAAACGTCAGCGAGGTAAAGAGCTGGAACACAAGACGCTTAAAACGGCACAGGTTGTATTTCTTTTATGTATTTGTGTTGTTCTGTATCACAACTTGCTTACCACGTGGAAAGGAGAGCGAGGAGGAGGCCGAGGAACCCTCCTGCGTGGAGGGAAGGCTTTAACACCTGCACTGGGCCTCGACTTTGTTGTCACTGGTGTTTGGCTGCTGCTGCCGCCGCCGTCACGTGGTGCTGCTGAAGACTTGGACGCAGAGGACGAGGAGGCCACCGGAACTGGAGCTGAGGAGAGGACAGAAAAGAAAGCAGAGCGTTTTAAAATAACTGTGGATTTAAATTTGGCTAATTGAGAGAAAGCCTAACCTGTATTAGATACCTGTTCTTTTTATCGTGATATAATCTAATCTCATTTGTGCCTCATTTACTCTTTGAATATAATTTACAGTCTTTAAATGTGTGAAGTTTTAAATACAATGAATACAGTTTGAGTCCGACTGCAACTTTGTAGGTCTTGCATGATGACAATAAATTTATTGAATCTAGAATCAAACAGTAAAATGTTCAGCTGTGAAAAATGACTTGTTTAGACTTCTAGAGGGTACACTGTTACCTTTAGCAGGACTTTGATGGAGTTATTGTAAATTCATCCTTTGTGTAATAATCTATCGGTTAGATCAGCTGTTACTTTGCCCGTTTGCAGTCTTTCATCACACACTAGCGTACTCGTAGAAAGCCCATTAAGAAATCTGGTTACATGTATACATGAACATCTTTATTCTCCAGGAGAATTGTACTTTCTCTAATGCCATATCCCAAATTATGGAAACTAGGTTCCTTGTTTACACAGCATATCAGAAATTAGCTTCCTAGAGGAGGCAAGCAGTAATGTTTAGTTACAGTTAGTCAACTGATGGAACAAGTAGAAGTAATGTTACTTTTTATGTAAAAACCAAGTATTTCTATTAGTCTTAAAGCAGGCTGAAAATATAAATATACTAAACTGGCTTCAAGGTACTTTCCTGTGACTACCTAAACTTTCCTGCATGTTTCATCCTGATACATCTGGCACTCTAAGCAGATTAAAAATACAAAACTGGAGTGGCGCATTAAAGATTAGTGGCAACATCGTTGTGACCCAGTTCTGCTCGTCATGCATGCACACGGCGTTGTGAAACAGCCGAGGGAGAATAAAAGCCCCGAGCTCGTTCTCTCACCTGGCTGCTCTGAGCTCGATGGAGGAGGCTGCACTACTTTGAGGACAGGGCGAGGGGGGTGGGGCTGGTTGGGGGTCGAGCTAGGGTTTCCGGGAGGAGCTATGGTGTAGTGGGCAGTGGCGGGACCGGGGGTGCGCTGGGCAATCTGCAGTGGAGCGGTGTTTCTGACAGGGGTTGTGTTGGCGTGCGGGTGCAGGGAAGGGGATGTCAGAGGAGCAACGCGGGGGGAAGGGGCCACTGCCAGCGTGGGCACGGGCCCGCCGTCCTTGCCTGCTGTCTGACGCACAACGATCTTCACGACACCGGGGCAGCTCACCATGGTGGGGGGCACTGAGGAAACACGAAACACATGTGAGAAACAAGGCTTCGTAAAGGATATCGAGCTGTAGACAGGATTTAAATTACTTTCAATTAAGCACAAGTGAATGATTAAAGTTACTACAAGGAACTTTTGTGTTGACTTTGGACAAAAGCAGCAGTGTTTCTGAGCACCAGAGTCCCTTTAAAAAAAACTCTCATTCTACTGCAGCAGGGTCCGACAGTCTGCTCCTCTCAGTCCTGGTTCTGGTTCTCCCGTACCTCCAGCGGCTCCAGCAATACGTCCTGGGTCTCCAGCAGCGTGGTGTCGGCTCCAAGAGAGGAGAAGCTCTGCTCCTGGAGGAGACGCTGCTGCTGCTGGGAGCTCCGGATCTGGGTCTGTCCATGGTGGACCGGTCTCTGCTGGAGGACTTGGGTCTGTCCCCGGTGGCTCCGATGACGAGCATTAAGAATAACTCTATAGAAATAGACCATCTTCTCTCTGATGGTCTCTTTACTGATGGAGGTCATATAGGAGGGTCAGGACTACACCGAGACTGGTTCACAAACAGTTAGAAGTTCCTCGCAGTAACTTTTAAGATAATAAAACAACTTTGCTTGATAATTGTGTCTGCTAAGAGGCAGAACATGAACAGGAGAAAGACGGGTTAAAAACCTTGCGCTGAGGCATTGTGAGGCAGTCGATTGGCAGGTGGAACAGTAGAGGTGATGTTGCTCGTGATGGCCACCTGGGCAGGCTGGCTGATGAGGTGGTGCTGCACCCCGCTGGACACCAGGTGCATCACATTACCTGCAGCGAGAGAGACAGACGGGTTTTCTCCTCAGAGCCTCCAGTATCCACATTATAGCCCATGATACCAATGAACTAAAATGATTCCTTCATTAAGCACTTTGTTATAAAAAAAAGGGACTATTTTCAAGATATTTCAGATTGTTTACCATCAAAATTCAAGTGATTTAAGCACCTTGTGCAAACCCTCTTAACAGACCAATCAACCCTCTTCCTTAGTTTATTCACACACCCTGTGAAAACACACAAAGCCGTCTCACACCAACCTTGAACTGGGCGTGGAGAAGCTGCTGGGACTTGGTGGATCTGTGCTCCAGACAGAGTCAGCTTGTTGCCCTGAAGCTGGAAGGTGACAGGTTTACTGCCTTGACACGACGACACAGGTCGACCCGCCAGGGAGGCCAGCTGGGCTATGCTCACTACCTCGCCAGCTTAGGAAGCAAAACAGAAAGAAGATGTGGATCAAAAACAATATTACATTACAGTTTACTACAAGTTACTGATACGAGAGTCTTTGAGACATTGAGCACACAGTTCAGTTGAGCTAAAGGACCAGTGTGTAAAAAAGGTGGGTGCTTCTCTAAAGACACAAAAGTACTCACAAGGCAACCTCGCTTGCATATCCGGACTGAGCAGAACCCTCTGGGGCAGCACGCTGCCGGGGTTTGGGCTCGGGTGAGCCGAGATGCCGGCTACGCAGGAGGCAGTGGGAGGCCGCACGGTCAGCACGGGCTTTGGAGCGCCGGAGCGCACTGCAAGTTGAGCGGTAGGATGCATGGAGGGGCGAGGAGGGGCGGCGGTTGATACTGTACACACCACTAAAGGAAAAAAGGAGGGAAATAAAAGATAGAAATACATCGTCCCATTGAAATCATGTTCCAGCTTATTCGTCCCTCTTCACTTGCCTTGCTGGACGACAGGAGCAGGTTGAGGAGCTGAGGAGACCTCGGTGACTGGAGGAGGTTTGGGGGTCTGTGCTGCTGGAGGTACTGAGCAGGTCGGTTTGTTCATCAGGAGGACCGGTCGACTATCACTCTTAGGAGGCGGCTGGAACATCCTAAAACACAGACAGTGTGTTCATACATTTGAGTCTTAATACACATCCTACACTTATAATGACTCCTGCTTCAGATTTTATCCAAAGTGCTAATACAGCTCTTTTAATTTTGAGGTTTGCATCTGAAAATGCAGAAGAACATTGTTCAGTATCGACATCAAAATTATGTTTTGATACTTTACTTTGCAGAGGACGAGTATGTTTTTCTAAAAAAAGGTTTGCCTTCACAACTTTGTGTTTTTAAAAAGTCTACATTAGGTGTGCTGCGTACCTGTTGACCTTCATGCGGACTGGTCTGGGTCTCGGGGGGGGTTCAGGGGACTCCAGGACCTCCTGGATCAGCTGGCGGCTGACCTTGTGGCGCGGCAGGAAGACGTCTGCCTCGTACCGAGACACACGGCTCTCCAGACCAACGAGGTCAAACATGGAAAGATCGCAGCGCTGAGGACGCAAAAACATAAAAGTATTATATTATAACATCACGTCATCAGCGTCGCTCGATACAAGACAAATGTCTTTTTCCTTTGCTGCTCACCTTCAGAGGAGAGACCTCCAGGGGGTCCTGCACCAGGGAGGCTGTGTGGAACACGATGGGCTTGGTGATGAAGGGGGACTGGATGGGTCGGGGGTCGAACAGGTTCGGGTGGTTGCATACTTTGCGGAGCTGCATCAGGATGTTGATCACAGACATGAAGTGACCGCTGGCCAGCGTTTCCCGGGTCCTTTGAATCAGAACGCAGAGACAAAACTATTAATACAAACAATATGAGAAACATAAGTAATCTTAGGGAATAATTGAGATGAGGAATTTTACACAAAAAGTACATGTGTAAATTATTCTAGCTCCAAATTCATGCAAATTATAAATTATTGAAGCAGAATATTACGTTAGATAAAAACATGTGAATTTTAGAAATGATTACATCTATTTTCTTTTGGATACAGTCGGACTTTACAGCACTCTGGAGTTTTGGGAACATTTGGATCAGGAAACGATCCTACGCTCCACAAAAAGTACAACACTAATAGTATTAGTTTTGTCTAATCTTTACCTGCAACTGTGCAGAAATATCAGGTTTCAACACAATGAATAGACATGCAAAATAATGCTCAGCATTCAAATGATGATTTAGAATTTGACTTGTCAACGACTTGAATGTAGCTTTGAAGCTTCCAACTATTCAGAACAGCGATACAAACTAAAACTACAGCCTCCATAATGATCATAGAGTGGAATAAACACCTCTCTCAAGAGTCTCAACAGAAACTGAACTTTTTAAGCTTCATGTTGGTTGATTTATTGCAGTTTTAGCTCAGTATACCTAATAAACAAGACAAGAGAATCTGACAACGAAAAACCATTAAATGCAAATACCATTTTTACACGTTTTCCAAGAAGACATCTCAGGTTTGCTTCATAATCTATTTAGTGTGATCATCTCTGAATTATCCTTTACACTTACGAGGCCTGTGCCATGAAGTCGTCGTAGAGGAATCTCTGTCTCTTGGAGAGCCGGCAGCGCACCACATGCTCGTATTTCTTGGGCATCTGCTTCTCCACGTCGATCTTGATCCTCCGGAGCAGGAAGGGCCTCAGCACCTTGTGGAGCCTCTTTACCAGGCCCTCGTTGTACTCCTGGCTGCCCTCGATCATGCCCGTCAGCGGGTTGGAGAACCACTCCTTGAACTCGCGGTGGGACTGGAAGACGTGGGGCATGAGGAAGTGCATCAGAGACCACAGCTCCATCAGGCTGTTCTGCAGAGGGGTTCCTGTCAGCAGCAGTCGCCGGTGGCTGAAAGAGGGAGAAGACAACGTAGACATTTACAATACATGTAGTTAGATTTACAGAATTAGGATTATAGATGTGGGAGAAGAACTGGATAAATCTCAGTAAAATGGGGTTAGGCATGTCTCATTAAAGCTGCATGGATTGATTTTATTCTTATTTGTATTCACTCTCCCTTTAGTTTTGGTCTCCAGAGGGAAATATCCGTCTCTTTAGCTGCTAAATGCTCCACTATGTTCACCAGTTAGTCTCCAACTGTGTCCGTTTGCTGCTGTGCAGGTTAGTTGGGTTTAAACTGGGGGGTTTATAAGACTTTACTGCTGCACCAAAACACTAGTTATAGGCCGTGAAACCATAGAACCATTGCCTGAACGTTTCGGAATGAAAAATGCAAATTCAGCAGGTTTGCATAAAATGAATAGTGCTGTAAGCTCGTACACTGGACCGGCAAAACCAAATATCAACCCATCCCTAGTGACTGATCAAAACACTGATGATAGCAGTCTGGAACAAACCTACAGATGATCGAATGTTGTACATTCATAAAAACAAGACAATTAATAGTTGAATAATACTTTCACAGTATTGTTTGTGTTTTTAACTTGTTTGTAATTTGTGTTTCCTGGTTCTTATCCCTCAGCCTCTATGCTTGTAGTCCCTACATCTCATAGGACTACAACACCCTTGAGTTCTAGGTTTTTGCATTTGAATGCTAATTACAGACACGTTAATGAGGGACAAACATCTCCATTTGTGAGACGAGCTGGTTAACATTCATGTCCACACACCACTGAGTAAACAGTTAAGTGCTCCGGTGTATTTTGGGGACGCATTCAGCGTCAAACGTGGTTAATACTGAATGATGGCTCGTCCTCTGCAGCAGAGTGAACGCTGACGTTTAGTGACAAGCGGCAGCTCACAGACGAGACGGAGAGGAATCCTTCAAAGTGCTTTGAAGCACCACAGAGACGAGAATAATGTGTCGTTTTGTAAATCAGCATTACTAGTTTGTAAAAAGCTTCTTGGTACATAACGCTGATGACACCTATTCAGATTATCCGCCTACAGGCCTGACTTCCAAAAGGAACACTGGAGTCATGATCATCAGTCTATGTGGTTATTATGTCACAGACTGAGCAATAACTGACTGGGTGCTCTGCTTTTGGGAATAAAAGGACATACATTTGCCAGACTACAAAGAGTGATCTAGAAATTGCATGAACATTTGCGTCAAAGCTGTTTTGTTGCCTAAATGTCGTCCTCTCCTCCTCCTCCTCCTCCTCCTCCTCCTCCTCGCTTCAGTTACAGCGAAACATTTTACATAATATTCCAACCAGCCGCTCATGAAAACAAAAGTTAAACTCGTCCAGCTTCAACACAAGAGCATCTGGAGTTGCAGCACAGAGTAGCAGATTCCCCAGACAAGAGCAATAAGAGTTTACCAACAAGGTCACAGTGGAAGATTTGGTGTCAAAATTGAAAAGCAAAAGTTAAATTTTGGCAATACTTTGGATTCAAACAGATTCTAATAGTGACCCTGATAACGTTAATGGGATCTGCATCTTGAGGAAGTCACTCCAAACAATGTCTGATTCCACCAGACGCACCACAACATCCCAGAAGCTGCCAAAACGTCTCCGCAGGTAAAAAGACAGTCGGTCATCCAACACTAAGGATCAAAGTAAGCACGTCGCAAATATTGAGCAACTACGAATATTCTTCCTTGTGAAACATCCTGTGAAATCTGAAACATTGACACAAGTTTATCAACCAGTGGGGAAATTCCCAGAGAGAAGTCTGACATTTATTTTGTACTTGAAAGTGTTTTTGATTTCAAAGGAACTGACTTTTGAACTTGTATGCATGTGGCAGACGTTTGACAAGTAGCCGAGGATCAAAACTCAAACTATACGATTATTAACCAACTCTACACCACCTAACTGATCTCTTTTCACTGACGAAGATCTACCGACCTGTTGAAGTTCAGCAGGCTCTGCCAGCGCTGGGATTTGAAGTTCTTGATGTTCTGGGCCTCGTCTAGGATCAGGTAGCGCCAAGACTTTCGCCGGAACGCCTGGTGATCCTGCAGCACCAGCTTGTAGGAAGTGATGCACACATGGAAAGCGTTAGGCTTCGTCCAGCCCTGAGGGTAAAAAAACAACAACAGTCAATATGGCTCAAATTTGTGTTTAAAAGAAACTGTTACACCCGTCACAGATACATGTATGTGAAGGAAATCGTATCCGGAACTTACAGAACACAAAGCAGGAAAAACACAATTAAACACCAGCAAATAAGTAAATATTTACCATTAACACTCATCAGCTCATTACCTGTCTCTTCAGCTTTCGCTCCTTTTGGCTGCCGAAGTAAGTGAGGATCTTAAACCCGGGACACCAGCGTTTCAGCTCCATCTCCCAGTTCAACATCACACTGGTGGGGACGATGATGAGGTGAGGGCCCCAGTTACCTGAACACAATAAGTCAAATGATAAAAGCAGCTAGAAAAGAAGGAACGTTTGAGTTTGTTTAGTGTGTAAAAGTAGGAGTAGCACTCTCGGTACACTAAAATGAAGCGTTAAAGTGCTGTTTGTATAAACGGTACTAAAAGCATCAGGACCAGGTTTTATTTTACTTTTTTCACAGGCGAGGTGAGCCAGCAGAGCGATGGTCTGGATGGTCTTGCCCAGACCCATCTCATCAGCCAGAATGCCGTTGAGCTTCTTCTCGTACATGGTGACCAGCCAGTCAAGTCCAATGTGCTGGTATTCTCGGAGCGTGCCATGAAGCAGGAACGGGATGGGGGTCTTGACCTTTCATTAGGAAGAAAAGATGAGAAAATGATGGTTCAGAACCGCATAGGAGACACAAAGAGTCGTATAATGTGTTCACAGCAAACGCAAAAGCAGAGTGGTTGTTTCCATGTGGATACCAACAGACTCTGTTTCTTGCCACTGTCAATCATGGTCGAAATAAACACTATTGCAGCTTTGTACATGTTGTGAAGGTCACGGATACGCGAGGAAACCAAACATCTGTGTTCATAACATCATTTGGAGGCTTTTCACTGGGCTGTACTCACTGTATCCAACAAGACACAAGTCTGCTGGATAAATCTGGTTTACTACAGCAGAACGAACCCAGAATAAACAGATTGTAGTTGTGATTTAATCGCAATAAACGGATAAAAAAAGATGCCGAAATAACTATATAACTAGATCCCGACTTGTAAGAAGTCTGAATTCGTGCTTTGTCAGGTCCGTCCGAAAGATGACAAGCACACAACTTTTAAAATGCTTGTTTTCTGAATGGAGTTTGGATTGATCGGTGGTTGGCAACTAGGCACAAATACAGCAGCGTTGTCAGTGTTTATACAGATTCATATATACACACAGTTTTATCTGGTCTCTGTACAAATATGAGGTACTATCGTAGAGCTCTGGGTGACAAAAGACTATATTTTGTTCCTCAATTTCTGATTCAACAACGTCACTGAAACTCTCAACTTAGATTTTTTGGTTAACTCAGCATCTTTGCATTGACTTTGTATGCAATCGCGCTGCCCGAAAGCCCAGCATTTGGTGTGAGCGAACCATTGCTTCTTAAGAATATTTAGATAAATAAAATATACCATTGAAATATTCCGCTGAATATCAGGGATTTACCTTCGTCGTAGCCAGCGTGTAGCCTTTAGGCTGCAGGCTCTCTGCAGTCGCAGCAATGTGGCTGATCTCCTTCTTGGGCCGTGAGGTGGCGGAAGGTGGGCTGGTGTCTCCCTCCTTCAGCAAGACCTCCATCCCTTCATCCCCGCAGCCATCATCTGCCTCCTCACTCTCCTCCTTGTCATTCCCACTGTCGTCCTCTTCTCCGCTGTCTCCTTGTGAATCTGAGAAATGTTTGAAAAAAAGGGAAATCATTTAATAATAAATGTAAGAAGCTTGTGTTAAAAGCAGCAAACAGTCTTTAGGAAGTGTGCAGAGGTGAGCTGGTTGGTACCGGAGGAGGAACTGTTGCTTTCCACGTCGCTCTCATCTTCATCAGTCTCCTCCTCCTCATCCCCAGACACCTCTGAATCAGAGCTGTCTTTGGAGCCAGATGCAGACGGAGCCTCAAAGTCTGAGGCGTACGCTCCTTTGTACTTCTCCAGCAACTCCTCAACGCTCATGTCGCCTACAAGGGGAGCAGAGGTACGTCAGTGGACATGTTTACTGCTCCTGTTTAGTGTTTTAAAGCAGGGCACAATTTAAGATGAATGAAATGCTTATTCTACATATACAGGGTCTATTTACCATGTTTCTCCTGGAAAGAAGTCATTAATAAAAATGATTTGGAAGTGATTTAAAGTCAATTCCTCTTAACCATTATCAGAAATCAAAAGAGCTCTTCAACCAGGAGAAAAACATAAACAACAAGAGGCTGACTCAACATGTGCAATGGCACTTTGTATTTCATGCATAAACACCTTCTTTGGCCAAGTCGTCCAGCTCCTCTGCGTGGTCCATGTTTCCCTCGACCTTCTCCTGAGCATCGATGGTGTCCTCCTCATCCTGAGCTGAAAACACACATTACATCTCTAATTACAGCTCAGTCAACAAACTACAAACCTATGTCATGTTTTTACTACTTTAGCTTCTTATATTGAGAGCACTCTTACCATCCTCTTCATTAGCAGTGAATTCACCGTCTTCCTCTGCCTCCTCCACCGATGAAGAGGTTTCATCAGAGCATTCTTCATCTGAGCCCGCCTCCTGTGTAACCCAACCATTCAGTGATTAAACCACATGGAAACATCTGTGGTCTGAATCAAAAGCACAAAAACCCTTACATCTATTCAGTGTTATTCTGTAATGTTATTGAGGTAACAGCTCATCTGTTTTCTGATAAATATTAGCACTAATAGTCGCATATCAGGAAGGTTTGAGGATTATCGGGAACATTTGATAGCTGCACAACCCTAACGAACATTTACAACGTTCACCTTTGTTCTCACTTGCAAATGTGCGGTTTAGAAACTGAGTATTTGTAACACCTGTGTGATTTATCAGGTCAAAGTTAAGACCGAGACGAAGCCTTGTATTCGTTAGCGTTCCAATGTGCAAATCAGTACGCAATGCACTGGAAAATAAACCCTGTATTTATATGTAAATGTCTGGAAAAAGAGCTTGTGACAACGATCCCAGTCCCATCAGGTTGGTGTTGGTACCTGAGGCAGTTTGAGGGTGCTGAGTAACTGGTCCAGGGGCAGCAGGCCCTCCTCCTTCAGCAGCTCTATCTCCCTCTGATGGCTCTCGGCGTCGTTGCCCTCCTGCTGCTCCTCCACCTCGATAGTCTCCTCGTCATCCTCCTCCTCACAGGGAGGCTCAAAGTCTCTGTCTGCATGAAGGAACACAGATTCTTCAGTACTGAGAAATGACTTCCTGAGTATCGAACATAGCTGTGAGGAAACAGAGAGCTGTATAACGTATCGAGATCGATTGGGTTCATAAGACACCACCCGGAGGCTCGACTGCAGTTCTCAAACACGAGAAATGCTTCAATTATCACGGCCTGTGGATGTAATTTGGTTTAAACAGCTTCTTCTGGTGGAGATTTCAGATTCTCGATGGTTAATCAGACTGTGATCGCACAGAAACTTTGCCAGAAATTGAGATTTACATGAGACGGGACGACTGACTCACAGACATGAACCACTGCCAAGTCTGAGCAAAACCCTAAAACTGAAGTCACCTTCATGCTCCAGGAGTCGGCTGCCATCGACAACATGGCCAGCGGACTAGTCTGACGAGTCTCGGACGTCGTGCCAAGAAACGATTCACTGCGCTGACGAACACTAACACTCAACATCCGCCTAAAGAGATGCAGTGGAGCTCAGGTGAGAACATGGTCGCTTCTCTCCAAGACGCAATAACCTTGAGAATGAAAAACTGATTTTTTATCTCAACAGTTCCTCCGTGTAGCTATGACAACGTCCCCGTCTGAACCAATGATTCAGCTCTGAAGGCAGAGTAAGAACTACAACATGGAGACAGTGAGCTCTGTTTATGAGCTGCAGCATTTAGTGAATAACTAGGGAGGCGTAGATCTCCACAAGGTGTGTCTTCCTCTCCCCACACAAACAAAGAAGAGCTGAATCTGACTAGACACAGATGGAGAGAAGCGTGTCTCTGAAAACTACGATCACCGGAGGGGAAACAACCGGTGCCACAGTTTGGAACAAAAGGAGCTCAAACGCCAACGAAATTGCCCGTAGCTGCTGAAAACGGGAATATTCTGGCACCCTATGTCTGCCAGAGCTGCAGCTGATGGGACAAGTTAGCGAGCTAGCTGTAGTTAGCTAAGGCACTTGCAAACATAATACTGCAGCTTTCTGATGCATCAACATTCCACTATAACACAAGTTGCATACAGTAACATTTTAGTGTCAGGATCCAGTTTTTAGCTTTTGTCTTCTTTAAGGCTCCCGTTTTCGGTTCAGCTGCTCACAAACACTGAGCTCTGGGTTCTTCATACTGTTGGAAGTGCAACCGACCACTCAGCAGCTTTCAGGGATTTTGTTGTTGCTTGTAAGTGGACGGAAGTGATAAGGAGTCACCTCCACATGATACAAAGTCAATGGAGAGTTGGCGTTCTGTCTCATATAACAAATACAGGGAATAATTCATCTCGTATCGTGTCTGACTTCAGTGAATCATAACATATCGGGTATGAAATTATGCTCAAAATGAGACGGCAACTTTCTTTGGATGTCCGTTTTTGAGTCACGATAAAGACCAGAATGTGGTCTGAAACAGACTAATAACTCCGGTTCAGAGGAGAGAGGCGTCAGCAGTCAGTGACAGCATAAAACAGTCAGTAAAATTAGCTTTTCAAAAATTGTGAGTCACAGCAACCATTAGAGGTCCTTAAGGAAACACAATCTCCCTACGCCTGACAGAGATACAAACACGCCTGACAGAGATACAAACAGCTCATCACCATCCTCATCAGTGGCAGGTGGCCCAGATGTTTTGGGAGTCTGAGGAACCGGTTCCGGTTCAGCAGGCCTGCTGGGTGCCAGCGACTTGCTGAGGAGGTCCGAGTATTTCTCCGTCTGGCCGACAATGAAGTCCAGCTGAAGGTCCAAAGCCTTCTTCCTCTTCTCCTCCAGCCTGGACTGCTGCTTGTACTGAACCACCTTCATTCAGAGAAGATAAGACGTTAACACAGCTGTTCATGTCGACTGCATGCACACACGGAACAGAAACTCTGGAGCGAGAGTTTCACCCGGACAGTTCACACTCGATTGTAGCCAAATACAGATTTAAAGCATATAGTTTAGGAATTATCAACAGGTCTTAAGTATTTATTATTGACAATATGACAGTATTTGAGTGCCTTAAGAAAGAGTTTTCGCCAATCTGTGGCCATAAAACGAACAAAAAAATTTTCTGCATTTTCTTTGTTTTCCCTAAATGTCAACGAAAACATACCGAACCAGGACCCAAAAAACATGACTTGCTGAGGAGTGCACTGTTACACCACTGGTTTTAACACAGGTTGTAAATGCCAAATATTTAACCATACGTAACAGGATAATTCCACTTGTTCAGTTGGTATACGTGTTTATTCTACGGTCTGAAAAGTAAAGTGCTTTTAATTTCTGTGGGAAAAACAAAATCAAACAGGCCGTGATCCTCTCAAATTCCACAGCTGAGCATCGAACCAGAATGTTTTGTTTGCTTGTTTTTATCTTGTTTGTGTGACTCATCCGTACCTTCTCCACACTGCTCCAGAAAGCCCGGACCTCCTTTGCAATAGAAGAGGCAACCCTCCTGATCTTAGAGTGCTCGTCTCTTTTGGCCTTTTCTTCCTTCTGCCTCAGCTCCTCGTGGTGTCGCATCACCATTCGTACCACCTAATAAAAACAACAGGACACATCATACATGCATAATCAGAAATATACAACACCTAAAACACATTTATTTCCAGATACAGAAACCTCCTTTGATAACGAACTCGACCCACCTTTCTAGCCACCCCTCTCTTCCACCGCCTCTCTTGAGCGAAGTCTCCGGAGAGCCACTGCATCTCCTCACACAGGTAGTCCCAGTGCACTTTGGGTCGCGGCGGCTCCGTCAGGCGGGTGAGACGCTTCGTGGACCAGAAGCCCTCTCGCTTCAGTGACTGGGTCCGGTGCTCGATGTCCGCTTCCTACAGACACACAGCGGCCAAAACCACTCAGTGAATCCTGCCAACGCATTAATGTGCTACAACAGTGCTCCTGTAAGTGTGAGATGGAAGAGGAGGGTGAAAAGAAGAAATGGCACAGGCTAGTTATCTCTTAGTTTGTCTTCAGAAAAGGGAAAGTGTTTCGGGGCATTTTGGATTGAATAACTTAATAATTTACTTTGAAAGGACGAGTATTTTGTTAATACTTTATACCGCATCACCCAGAGAATAACGTTAGCGGAGCTCTGTACTCTAGCGCGAACAAGCCGGCTGATCGACTCACACTTCAACACTCAGTCCATCGTCTGCTTCATTTCAAAAGACCTGCACAGCGTTTTGGATAACAACGGCTTTCCTTGGTGTTAATGTTGCAGCTGAGAAACTGTTTCTGGAGAGACGGTTGATAACAACACAGCAGAGAGCGAATTTACTCCAGAAAACACACACACACACACACACACACACACACACACACAAAATTGAGATCACGATTAATAAAACACTATTACTCACACTCGACATTTTGTAGTTTACATTTTAAAGTGAAATGAAAACTGGCACATTTAGAGCAAAATAAAGCGTCTATATCTAAGCAGAACTTTGTGCTCTAGTAAACAATTTAATCATAAACAAGTCGGTTGTTTGCCGACATTGCTGCTCTGAGGACAGGCCGCAAGACATGACCGTCACACCAGGAGCCTGGAGCTCCGCCCCTTCCTGCAGGAAGAGAGGGCACGGCGAGCACTAAGAGGCGAGTGGTGCAGAAGCGCCACCTTCACCCCCGGTGCCTTTACACATCAATCTAGAGCCCGTCAGGGCGCATCATCACAGAGGAAATACACCCGCCGAGGGCAGCGCCTCGCTGTAAAGGGTGCGCTGGATTTATAACAAGACAAAACGAGTGTGGCATCGCGGAAGGTATGCTCCATAATATTCATTTTATGTCCATTATCCAAATCTATTAATTGCACATTTGCTGATTTCTACTCAGCCATCCAGTATAATCCAGCTGGACGGAAGCAGAGTAAAAACATCAAAGTCAAAAAGGTTTTCAGGGGTTAAATCAGGAATTACAAAGAACCTTCAAAGTTGCAGATAGTGCTTTGAGGGTCCTTCCGTCATCCTCCTTCGCTATCACTCCTTGACTCTCATAGTCAAAGTAGACATTAAATAATGATTAACTGATTCAAAAGTCGATAAAAACGTTGGTCCAAAGTTGCATCTTGATCATATACACCTGGCGTATTAACTAAGAATCAGAGGGTAGTCTAGTAAAGGTCCGAGCGTCTCATCAACTGTTCCTGCTCCAGGAGGTTTCACTCCTCCGTTACAAACCAGGATGTTCTCCTCTCAAAGAGGAGCCTGTTTGAGGCAGCAGGAAAATTCATTTTTGAAAGCACAATTATTCTCAGTAGTGTGAGAAAGTGAAGCGAGAGGCTGAGAAGTGTGTCACACTGGTATCACTTTGTGACACCTCAAACCACCTGTGGAATGTTAAAATAGTTTTCTTATTCACTGCTGCCTCGCTTCAGCAAAGGCAATGTATTGTTTAAACACCGTATCTTAAGGCTCACTCACATGTTTAGCCTGCTCTGCCATGTCTGTGCGGCGCTCTCCACGGGGTCGCTGAGGAGTGACCTGATCCGGCGGGGAAGAGGAGGGGGAACTGTAGCCGCCGACAGTGGTAGGAGAGACAAACTTCCCATGAGGCCCCCGGAGAGGAGAGGACTTGTCCCGCCGTTGGCTGGACCAGTCGCTGGAGGGCGAGGGGCCGGGGTACGAAGAGGAAGTCGAGGGCGAGACGGGAGACGAATTCGCCGTGACCCTGTCCGCTATCCACTGGCGTACCTGAGGGCCGAGGGAGGAAGGTGAGGAGGAAATTACTTCACACATTAGCGAGGTGACGGCAGCAAGATTCACCGAGATAAAAGCCACATGCATGAAAAAGGTTAGAGGGTTACAGGAAGCTAATGCAGACATGCTACAGAATTATCAACAAGCCAGCAGTGACGTTTCTGTCAGCTTTCGTCTCATGCAGGATTAAAGTCAAATAGCTTTTTTAAAGTCAAATTGCTCCCCGTCATCAGCAGTGACAGCGTGCTCGTGAACCTCTGTGGGTGTCTGACAAGCCACCACTCACCTTGAGGAACAGTGTCTGTCTGTCTGTCCTGCTCTGTCCATGCTGTAAAACACACATGGCTTAGCATGCGGCCAACTTCACAGAAATAAAATCACTAAAACAATGCAAACACTGTTCACATGGGTGACATCAACATGGATTTCATGCAGCAGGATGTGTGGAACGCCGCGTTTAGACGAAGACATGCCAGCACACCCGATATGAACGAAACGATGGTGTAATAACAGATTCATCTCTTTTTCCAGGTAGAGGGCTGATTTACAGCTCACAGAAGTATTAAATAAATCTGTCATGCACTGTATCTAAAAGGCAGAATGAGTGGAACTAAAACCACTGACCACTAGAAGTGTTTGTCAGCGTCTGTATCTGCAGAGATTCGGCCTTTTTTCTTCTTATTTTTCTGTGTTCGGGACGTTTCTGGGCGTCAACCTCTATAAAGATCGTCAGCACACATTCCAAGAGGAAGACACGAGCCAAAGAAATGCAAATAAAGCTCGTTCTCTAACGAGTGAATCTGGAGTTGGCTTTCACCCGCCGGCGAGCACCGTAACCCTCGTTGAGTCAGGGCCAACTTTTCATTCATCAAATTGAGCCTTTAAGTCGACGTATCATTATGTTTATAATGAACCTTGTGCATTTGCTTGTATCTGTGTATTTTTCCTTTTAGATCAGTTTTGTCATGCATAATGGAAATGTGTATGAATCTTAAATACTGCAATTGCACTGAAAATTGAGCACCTTTCACTAAATTTCCCTCAGGATGCACAGTGTGAGCTGATAAACTCTCAGTACATCATTCAGATTAGACGGAACAGATGACAAGAAACTGATTTTTACGCTACTCTGCAACTTTATGAATCTTAAACAAAACCTATTTTATAAACTCTCATTAAAATACCTTGTCTGGAGAGCCGGGGGTCATCTCGCCTTCTGTTTTGTCGGCATCCGGTTCCTCGTCGCTGCCTTCCTCTGGACTGCTGATCTGTCCTGAAGTGACCTCCTGCGCCTCGGCTTCTCCCGTCGCCTCGTCCTGCTCCATGTCCTCGCTCTCTTCCTCCTCGTAGAGGGAGTCGCTGATCCCGGTGGACGCCGTGACTGCGCCTTCCCTCTCCACTGATGCCGAGAGCACATAAAGGGCGTTGGGCGTAGTAGCACCTGCAGGGACGACGACATCTACTTCGCTTGAAGTTTTAGTAACAGTTAAGGCCTCGTTGTCAGATCTGCTCGTTGACGCTGTGGGGGAGATGGATGCGGTCTGGTCCAGATGAAGCGAGTCACCACTCAAGACGGGCTGCTGCACCTCGACAGGCGGAGAAGCTTTATTGACGAAGCGCTGCGTCTGATCCTTCTGGCCGCCGAGAGCCACAGACGGACATAAAGAGTCCGAGACAGTTTGGGGAAGGCACTCCTCAGACGCGGTGCCAGACCAAGAGATGTGGGCATTGGCCAGCTCGCCGGCCGCATTCTGTCGCTTGGACACCTTTGCCAAAAGGGAGGGAGGGTGTTTCAGGACGGGAGTCACTCCCGGTTTGAAAAGGAGCAGCTTTGGATTTAAAACACCAGAGGGGCGGGTGGTGCAGAGAGCCTCTGGTTTGGTTTTCGTGGGCACAGCAACATTCTGGATACTCCGTGATGGCGTCTCTGTCAAAGCAGGGGCCACCTTGGTCCCTTCGCGTGACGAACCAGAGGCCTCACGCTTTGTGGCACTTACAACAGTCTGACTGAGAGTGGGCTGAGCAGATGAGCTCGTCCTCGCGTCCTCGCCGGTAACCACCGGGGATATGAAAGATAGCGCTCCAGCTGTCGCTGCCACGTCCTGTTTTGGGTGAATCGTTTGAACTACAGGAGAATCACTCACCTGTGTTCGGTCCGACAGGGCCACACTGACCTGTGGCGTCACTGTTTGTTCTAAAGCGAATGAGTCGGATGCGACAGCGGCTACTCCAAGGAAACAAACCGTTGAGTTGGCCACTTCGACAGCTCGCTCAGCTTCTAATACCAAATGCTGCCCGACAGCAGCTGCTCTCGTGGTTTGTACGGAGAAATTATGGGAATTACTGCTTGCATCGTTCGATACAGGCAAGGGCTGCTGGGAAATAATGACGGTGCCACCTTCGTTAATTGTGTGAATAGATGGTTCGAGGTCCTCTTTGACGGTGTATTCCGAGTGTTCGAGCAGCGCGTTGAATAAGTTCACCTCGTATCCTGGAGAGTGAGGCATCTGTGCGCTGCTACTGGCGCACACCGTCTCCTCTGCAACCTCCTCCACCAGGGTGCAAAACTGGTACACCTCAACACGCTGCGAGTCCAACTCTATGGCCGCATGAACACTTTCCTCGTACAGCTTCGGTTCCCCGGCGGAGAGCTCGGAACTCAATGGAACAATGGCGGCTTCACAGACGCTGCCATCTTCCCGCTGCAGGAGGTAACTCTGATTCAGGTGCATGTTGGTCCAGTCCCCGCTGATGTGAGCCTCCTCTCTGACGACAACGATTTCTTGAGCTTCGGCTGAATGCACAAGCTCGGCAGTCGGTGGCGGCGTCTCCGTGACTTGGTCGGATCGATGAGATGTTTCCGCTTCGACGACCAGGCACGTGTCCAACAGGAGCGGCGAAGCAGAGGGTTTTGAGGAACTCTCCCGTGTGGAGGAGCCCTCTGGCAGCACTGTGAAGTCGGACGAGGAGGCGTCAGTTTGTTCTTCCCTCACGCTACTCTCCAACCGCTCTCCTTCGAGTTGATCGCGGCTCCTCTGGATGTCGCCGTCTCCTCTGCTGGACACCGAGCATCCTTTCTCAGGAGAAGCGAATAATCCAGGAAGTGGTTCTCTTGCTTTTCTGGTCTCAAGTATTTCAGCTGAGGGAGGTTGTCTTTCTTTGAGAGAAGTGTCAACGCGCTCAAACATCTCAACTGATTCCAAGGAGTTTGCTTTTTGTAACTCTCCGGCATCAGTTGAGATCTCTTTGATAATTTTAGGTTTTGACAGGTCAGTTTGTTTAATCTCACTGGTGCCCGATGAGGGTAAAGGGAGCGGAGGTGATTTTGAGTCCTGGTGACCCCCAGCATGCACCGCAGCGCCCGGCGGAGGCACGGCGGAGGGGCCCCTGTCTGACGGCTCCAGAGCCCCGTGTTCTGTGGCGTCTCGGACTCTGAAACCAACACTTGATTGTGGGACAGAAGGAGATGAGGCTGTGAAACGGATTTGAGATTTGGGTTTAAGGAGAATATTTCCGCCTGTGTGCTCTTTTCCACCAAGTTCCACGATTGTTCCAGTCTCTGGTTTATATTCCAACAAGACGGACTGTTTCTCCTTAGTCCCCGTAACAACCACAAGTCCAGCCCCCTCTCTAGGTGGCTGAATCTGGTTTGTCTGACTATTTGAGGGGCTTTTCTCTTTATCAGTTTGTGACCCATATTGCAACTCTTGCACTGTGCTGTCAACCTGTGTATCTGGGGCGAGAGGGGGACAAAGGGGAGCTGGAGCCCTTTGCATCCCAGCAGAGGAACTGCAGTCCTCGATGGGCGCCGGCAAGGATCCCGAAACTCCGACGACGCGATCCTCAGCGTGGACTTCTTCTGAGATGCCGTCCGTGGAGTCGCTGCTGATCGGGAGAGTCTCAGTCTGAGGGGCACTCTCCATGCCGAGGAACGCTGAGTCGTTGCTCTCCGGCGGTGGCACAGTGGACAGATTGGTGAACGGAGGGACCGGGCGGGGGGCAGCTGCGACCGGCTGCGGGGCACGCCGAGGCGACTCCCCAGCCACATTCTGTGCAGCCTGGGGGTCTCCACCCAGCACATCCAGTACAGCCGGAGGGGCACGCTGCCGCACCGCCTCCTCCACAGAGCGTCCTTCCTCTGTGCTGCCCCGGCTACACACTGCACCTGTGTGTGTGTGTGTGTGTGTGTGTGGGGGGGGGGGGTACAGGCTGTTAAAATAGTGTCTGGACAAAGTAAATAAATAAAAAGAAAATAAAAAGAAAGCACAAATAAAAAATATGTCTTCTATTGATAAAGTGGGCCGTTGCTGTTTTTGTTCCTTTTATTAAAGTATAGGGAATTGGTATTCTCCTCACCATCTTAAAAAGGGAAACATAAAAGTCTGCAGGCAAGCCGACATCGAGTGTGTGAGTGTGTGTGCATCAAGCAACAACTTCTCACCTGTCTGTGGTGTGAGACACAGATCTTCTGTGCTTTCTACTTCCAGGATGCTGAAATTAGGGTCCCTTCCACATATTCTGTGGAAGCAGAAACAAATAACTTTATTATGAAAATCAAACATGCACATCTCTCCCCTTCACAATTAAAAACTAATGAAGCGAGCCATTGTGATTGCCATACTACACAGCCATGTGCGTTTCACGATTAAAAAAGGGGGCTAATGCTAGATTTAATTACATTAGACATGCATTTAGTAAACACAAATATCACACTGTGGGGACGACGCCAGGTCACGAGAGCAGCAGCAGCAGCACTCGGATAGCTTCAGCTAGCCAGCTGCTATGACTACAGTTGGTATATTTGGTGTTTTAATGGGCATCCTGCAGCAGTAATAAAAACACACTCAGTGAAGCAGCACTAAGAGGAGCAGCTCCGATAGCTCGCTGCAAGTTTGCATTTTGCTGCAGTCACCCACAGGAAGATGTTAGGAATCCTGCAGCACGCGCTCACAAGCTAAAAGCCGGTGTGATCAAGCGCGCGGGCCTTCCAGTCATTCATTTGTATGCTCTCGTGATATGTAATTAATTGTGTCTGCGTGGACTTGTAGATGATTATCTACCTTTGATAAATTGCATCTTTATTCGGTGGTTACATTGTGCATTGGACCGCGCCACCGTGCACGAGACGAGAAGATGGAAATCGACTTTCCATTCCTCGTCGCGAGAGTGGCAACGTTTAACAATAAATACCACAAAGCTGGGGTAGCTGGGACATATTTACAGCGGTTAAACGTTAACGCACGCTGGTTTGGGCTATAATGTGGTTAGCTGGCTAACGTTAGCTTTCCACACAACAACACACTGCTTGGGTGGCACTGAAGAAAAGGAAAGCCGCCTGCTAACTAGCAAAGGTAGAAGAGTTACTAAGGGTGCGTTCATTTGATGCGCAGGCGTACCATCAGCCCCATGCGCGGTTATGTAACGTTCCAAAGACGCCCGTTTATGCCGACACGTTTGATTAAAGTTACTTCGCCGTCAGACCACAGAAAACACCTGAAAAGTCGCATTAAAAACCCGCTTCTGCATGCAATGGCATACAGAGAGGGAGGGAGGGGGGGGGGGGGGGACAGGGACAAAATCACTCGTGACGTCATTGCGTGGGGTCAAAATCTCGTTTTCATGAAAATAAATACGTTAAAATTATTCCGTTTTAGCCACCAATACATGTATCTTTCCTACTAAGTATACAAAAACAGCAAACAAAATTGTTATAAAGTTCCATATAAATTTTGCAATGATTATACGGGGGATTTAGGGGGGGTCACACGGGCCAACCGGCTGGCCCTTTAGAAGCGACGGTAAGGAAACGATGGCTCAATGACAACGTATTTCGTTTACATTACAATTTGTTCCGTGCTGTAGCTTTTTATTTATATTTTCGGCTTTCGGTTCGAGTGTAGTGCCTACACATTTCAATGAAGTAAATGTAGAAAATACTACCAAGTGAAATGCAGTCCGATTGTGTCCTTCCGTTAGTCCGAGCCCCCCCTTCAATTCCCCCCATTACTTCCTCCTTGCCCCCCTCCCTCTACTAAGGCCGCCATCTTAAGTTCCCACCTACCTGAAATTTCCGAGCGATTTTCTTTTACTAAATTCTCGTTGAAGGAGTCGTCATCCGCGCAAAATCGCACTCAATCCGGAATGCCAGTAATCCAAACTGTCTCCCGGTACCCAACGAGGTACCACTAGGTCTGTGGGAAGAAGTTAAAATACGGACCGGGAGAGACTGGGGTTTCGGCGCAGAATGTAGCGGTCGCGGGGAGGAGACTTTACGCAGCGAAATGGTGGAGAGACCGCTGCTGCTGACAAAGTACAGAAACACGGGAAATCTCGCGAGATCTCGTCAAGCGCGCCACTTGAAATTTCTGATTGTAGTTCATTGTGAGAAGCGAGCTCGATTAAACGATGCAGTTTAATCGGTTTATTTCCACATTTACCTTAATAATATACACATCGCCAGGAATATATTAACATAGTTAAGTTCAGATATAACAATAGGTTTAATATTTTAAACCTTGGGTGCAAATAGATGCTACAAGCAGCGGTGGAGGAAGTTTTATATTATAATCAAAGTACTAGTACCTTTAAAAATACTCTGTTACAAGTAAAAGTCGTGTATTGAAAATGTTAGTTTGTATAAGTATGCAAGTCTTATCAGGAAAGTGTACTTAGATTATTAAAAGTACTTAATGCAGAAAAATGTCTTGTTACTTATATTATTATATAATTAGTCATTCAATTATTATTCATGCATTAATGCTAAAGCAGGATTTTACTGCTGTTGTTGAACTGTTAATTAATAATTATTTCCATTATGGAATAATTTTGTTTGTAAAAATAGTGTGAAATGCCATCACATCATCATTGATCCAGAACCCAAACTGACACCTTCATGTTTGTTTTGTCCAACCTCAAAACTATTTAAAAAATAAAACATTATAGAAGAAAAGACTGAAGTACCTGCTCTTCATATTTGTACTTATGTTTATTATTAGAGTAAATGTATTCTTTTTTAGGATACATTTATGATCAAGGGACCTGGGACATATGAGGTAATAATAAACAAGACTTTACTTACTTTAGATAAAGCCTGGTGAGAAGAAGTCCTTTTTCTGTTCATTCCCTTTAAATGCAGGATTATTAATATGACCGGTGCTTCAGAATATCCTTTTAGGTTTGTTTAAATAATATATATATATAGATGGAAAATGCAAGTGTGTGAAGTAGTTTAGCTGAGATATTCAGTATAGACAGTTAAAAAAAGCCTAAACTTCACTACCTGAACGTAGGTATTTCCTGGTTTTCTTCATCTTTTCTGATTGTAAACTGTATCTTTGCGATTTGTACTATTTGTACTCAGTCAATATCTTAATCCAAGTATTTCTCCATTTTCTGAATGTATACACCAATCTACTCATGAAAATAAAACAGCAGATAAACCAGAAAATAAAAATAGTTGACCCAATATTAACAGAGTCAGAACAAAAGACCCACACAACAGAGTAAACAACAATTCATTTAATAATTAATCTTTGTGGTCTCTAGGGGAGGGGTTTGAAAGGTATAAAATGGTCATATTAAAATAATCGACCCAGTCTTTTCCCTCTCACGATACCCGCTGTCTAGCTGTCTTCTGACACAAGTCCTTATATCTTCTTTCTCCGTTCCTCAGCAGATGTCCCATTAATCCACGTATATAACTTACTTTTTATTGATGAAACAACTCGACAGTTCAAATGTACAAGGCTCCCATAGTCCCAGATGGATATAACACACAACCAATGACACACACACAGGCAAACCTCCCTCTCAGCGTATAATAATAAAGTCGTAGATGAGATCCTTGAAGAGGCTGAATGTTCACGAGCACTAAAAACTGTTTCCTGTGACGCAAGCCTTCCGCATGATTTGAAACAGACTACTACCTGGGGAGAGAGAGTACTGGTTGATACCCGAAACAAATACAAATAACATAACAGTGAATATATTTATTATTATTATAGAAGATAATTAATGTTGAGAATAATAATTACAAAGGCAATTTCTCTAGACTACTATAATCTGGTCCTGCTCATAGTCAAGAGGAGAGTGGGAAACAGTTACAGGAAGCTCTAAAACACTGTGTTCACTCACACAGTTCATCTCATTCATCCTTTGAAAATGAAAAACAAGAACAAGAATGTTGAATCTCATTATCCGTGAAAGCTGAGAGGTTCGGTTTTTGGGTGAAGCGGGAAACTGAGGTGCGACGATCTTCATTAAAATGGTCTCGTCAGTAATCTGTCTTTTCCACGATGACAAAGAAAAGAGACACAAAAGACAGAAAGCACCACTTTGACCGCTGTGTTTGTAAAGACCCTCATCCACAAGACCTAACCAGGGTTGATTCATATCGAGGAAGGCTTCATGATTAATATCCCATGAGTTAACCCGAGCTGAGGATGTTTATTCACAGTGCACATCCCTCTGGAAGTCATGTCCGATCCACCCGGAGAAGGCTCGCTGGAAAAAAAGCACGGATCTGAAAATGGAACCAACAGCCAGAATAACATAAAAAACACACCAAGGATGCACAGAAACCATGTACCTTTAAATTGCACTGATAGAACCATTGCGCATATTCCAAGTCACACTGAGGAGTCTTGCTTTTCCCCTCCCTTCCATCACCTCCAGTCAGTCATGGTTACCCTTGTTTGAGGGGTGCTGGAGCTGGTTTGGTTGTGTAACTGGGAGGGCAGGGTTTAGTAGTCTGCAAGAGGAAAAGGGGGGGCAGGTTGAGAGCAGCACAGTGATCCTGACATTTCCCTTAATCTCCTCCAGTGTTGTCCCTGTACTATCTGGACTCTCCGTCTTTGTGGGCGCTGTACATAGCCAGATCACCCGGCCCTCCGAGTCTACGGGGAGGCGTGGACGACCGGCTGGTGATGGACGGAATGAGCGGAGGCGGTGCCCCCATCGCCAGAGCCCCCACCAAGCCCGAAGGGGTCTTTGCCAGGATGCCGTTGGGCACATGGTGCGGCTGGCCTAGCTGGCCTAGCTGGTTCAGCTGGCCTAGACGGGCGAAGAGGCCCGCGTGGTGGTGCTGGGCAGCGGGAGAGCCTCCGTGGTGGAGCGAGTGGGACAGAAGGCCAGGGTGGAGCTGCTCCAGGTGAGCGGCAGTAGCAGCGTGGGAGGGGCCCGACAGGTGAGCGCCGGGAGGGATGTGCGGGTGCATCCCGAAGTAGCGGGCACGCTCAAAGTCTTCCCTCAGGATCTGGGCGCGCTGCTCCTCGTCGATGAGCCCTCCTCCCGGGTGTCCGAGGTGATGAGGGCGGTCAAAGTGGTGGGCCATGAGGCCGAACTCCTGGCGGGCAGAAGAGGTAGAATTCTGAGGGTGGTGAGGGTTGGATGCAGCCGCCACAGCCGCATGCGCCCTCTCCGCCTCCAGGAGGCGCTGATGCTGGAGCAGTCGGGCCAGATGCGGATCAGTTCGCAGGGCTAAGTGGGGGTCTGCCCGAAGTGCCATCGCCTCCCTGCGATGCTGATGCTGCTGATGAGCCGCCAGCTCCCTCCAGGGGTCCCACGTGAAGCTGTGTGGACCCTGTGATGGTCCTTGTCCTGGACCGTGGTGGAAACGTTCTCCTCCCGGACCCATCATCAAACCTGCAGCGCCTGTGCTCCCCAGATACGCCTCTATAGCCCTGGAGCGGTCCAGCAGGGTGAGATGTTGGTGGGAAGGAGGGTTTGGATTGGTAGGCATGTGGGGAACACCAGGAGTGGGAGTCAGTGATAGAGAGGAAGAGGAAGGGGTACCGGAACGATGGTGGTGAGGATGGCTGTTGGGGCGCTCAAAGCTGTGGTTGGATGCTGGTGGAGGCAGGGTGATGGGGATGTGCTCCGGCTCCTCTTTCCGCTCCTCTTTGACTTTAACCGGCGGGAGAAGCAGCGGAGGCTTGGAGACGGGCGTCTGGGTCCGGTCAGACTTCTTGGCCTGAGACAAAGACATGACGGAGGCAGAAGCCGCGGAGGAAGAAGGGAGGTTCCCGTCTCTTTGGGAGTGCGAGGGTTCGTTGTTGTGGTGGGCGTGTGCCGTCGGGGCCATCGGACGCGGGTAAAGCTCCATCGGAGACGGCGCCGAGCGATTGGTGGGCGGCGGGGTGGTGAGCACAGAGGACGAGGAAGACCGCGGTCTGTCTCTGTCTGCTACTAAAGATGAAGGAGGTCCACGCGACACCGTTTGCTGCGGCCTCTTGTCTCCATCTCTGTCTCTGCTTGAGCTGCGCGTCAGGTCCTCGATCGGCCCGGCGCTGCCCCCCAGGGTGCTGCTGTGGCCGTTAATGTGGGAGACCGGGGTGCTACTGCGGGGCTTGAAGGGAGGGGCGACTGGAGACATTCTCACAGGTTGTCGGCCATACAGCATATTGTCTCTGCAAAACATAAAGGTGCACAACAGTTACAGAATAGAAATCCTCCATACCCACTTTTATATTTTTTTATATATATATATACATATACATATACATACATATATACATATACATATATACATACATACATACACACCACAATTGTATTACACTTGATATAAGATGTGGAGATTTGTTCTATTAAATCTATTTTGTGTGTTTTTGTGGATTTTTTTAGGTTGTTGCATATTTCCTCTTGACAGGTCTCTCTACCTCGCTGGGACATCTGTGGTCACAGGACTGTTTGGGGGATCAGAGGGAGAAATACTTGATTGACACTTGAGATGCCCTGAAAGCCTGCATTGGGTTCTTTAATTAATGACCTCCGGTTCTGGGGAGTGAAGCTGATGCTTCGTGTGTTAAAGCTGCATTCTCTCTAGTGTCCACCAGGGGGCGACTCCTCTGGTTGTATAGAAGTCTATGAGAAAATGACTCTACTTCTCTCTTGATTTATTACCTCAGTAAACATTGTAAACATGAGTTTATGGTCTCAATCTCTAGGTTCAAGTCTTCTTCAATACAGCATGATGTTCATTTAGTACATTATGGTCCATTTAGAGTCACACAGACCATAAAGCAGGGGATGCTTTAGGGCGGAGCTTACTGTGATTGACAGGTCGCTACCAGAGCTGTATACAGCGTCTCTAAGTCCCTCCTCCGCATTCCAGATATGGTAACTTCTGTTCACCAGTTGTAAAAAGTAAAAATGTTGACGGCCATAATTAAAGATGGCGTCCGAGCGAGCCTGTCTTCACCTGTTTGGGGACCTAAATGGACCCCCTTCGGACAAATGTGATGCAGTGCCTTTCGTGAGAGCCTGGATTAAAGCAGGACATGGTCTCGCCTCTTCTTGGATACCAGAAAGGCAACTAGAAGAAACCAAGCCGAGGTCTGCGTGTCGCACACTGCTTATCACCGCATGTCAAGAACAATGACCAAGCTCTCCCTTTAAATATAAAGCCAGTGTTGTAATCATGTCATACCTGTCCTTTTCGTCCTTGATGTGGGGGATGTCTCTCCTCTCCGTGTCCTTCGCTCGGTCCCTCTCGTCCCGCTTGTCCGGCCCTTTAGCCCAGCTGGGCCCGGGAGTGAACCCAGACGGCCCGCCCTGCAGACGGTTCCACGGGTCGTGATGGTTGGGGGTGGACAGGCCTCCGACCACGTTAGCTGGTGAATCTTTAGGGCCAAACACAGATCCTGCTGAAGAAGAGAGACATGTTCTTGGTTAGAGAAAGAAAGAAAGAAAACAGTGTAGAAGTAAAACTTTAAAATGTAATATTTTACAACAGGCTTTGTTGTTAGCATCTATTATTATCCTGGTGAGCAGGATTATTGTTTTAAGAAGTCCAACTGAAAACTTGTTCGTACTGAACAACTTCTGTTTCAACTTCTGGTTAAAAAAAGAAATGTTTTTCAAAACAAGTTCTAAATGATCAAGAGAAATATATTTTGGTCTGCAATCAATAATGTAGACAACAAGGCTTTTAAAGAAAGGCACCGACTCAAATGCCAGAGTTAAAAAAACAATAAAACTATTATACAAATATTTCTGCAGTCTGAAACCTCTTAAAACCCTTTAATTGACAATGTTTTGCATTGGGTTGTTTAATTAATGATCTCTCTACGCTTAGTCGAACACAACAAAACATTATCTTTTACAATTTGTTAGAAATATTTAATCAATGCTTTCATGTTGAACTTTTAGCCCAGAGCAGCTGAACAACTAAACTTGATCAGATTCTTAGTCTTGTTATTAAGTAACAGTTGTTAATAGTATATGGCATATAGTTCGGTAAGATTCTCGTTTGGCTGTTTGTGTTTGAAGACAATATACACCCGATACATTTAAAACACATTTTTAGAGAAAAACAAACAGAAATGCAGACAGAAAAACGAATGTTTTCATTATTGGGACAGAAACCTCAAGAATATACCGTATATATTCCGACATGGCTTAAAGATGTCATGTAGAAGTATTTTTTGAAATGTTAAATTATTAATTTTGTTACAAAATGGCAACTGTTGACATCATTCCTCAATAACCGACAGAGGCTTCCATGATGAAGGTCTGAAACTCAAATGGGATCCAAGCAATTACATTCACATATTTGTTGTATTTTTGAGCATCTGCTAGCTCTACTTTTTGGAGGCTCTTCTCCTTTATCATCTTCATCTTATCTGATCATTTCACAAACAACATGGTCATCTGGAAGTAGTGAAAATGGTGGTTTGTTTCCTGTGTGTTTAATAACAACTTCTCGGAGTCACGAGTAACTTTCTGTCACGCAGGCGCAGAAGTTACATGTTAGTTGCCCGTTGCATGTAATCTTTAGGGTGTGTTCAAGTGCAACTTTTTGGCCCAGACAAAAGCAACATCGCCACTAGTTTCTTTGATGTCCTGACCCTCATAATTCATTGTGTGTTTGTAATATGTTGAATTTGGTGCATATGGCTACGCTCAGGGGTATATTTAGCTCTACCAGCAAATTTTGCCTCCAACACATGTGACTTCTATGATTTATATATTCTTATTTTCATTCTTGTTATTATGACTTTAACCACTCCCCCCCCCAGTTCCTGTTTTCTATACTGCAGTTAGCTTTACAACCCAAACCACATAACAGATTACCGTCTACATGTAAATATACAGTACAAGTAGCTACAATGTGGATCAATCCATTCCCTTTACCAGTACTTCAAAATAACCTCAATCCAATCGTAATCGTCCTTATTTGACCTCTTCACACATTTTAATTTAAGATGTGTACTTCATGCTATTAACGTATGATCTTAATTTGCAAATTACAATATTAATTGTAAGAGTTTTACAACAAAAGAAATATGCATCAACTAGCAGAGCTCCTGCGCATTAAAAGATATGGAGTAAAACAGCATTGCTTTCTGTGCTTCGGCTGTGTTTTGTTCAGACTTAATTGGAGATGTTGATGCAGCAAAGGTGCGACTCGACAAGCTCATCATCCTCGTTCATTAGAGTATGGAGAGCTCCTCCAATCACGGTAAATGTGCCAATTTATGTGTTTTACGTTCCATGCACCCACTCAGACGGATGTGTCGGCAATTATTTAATTTAAAAACATTAAATATTACACTGCGGTGGCGAGAGGACTAATTGTTTTCCGCCCACACACAAAAAGTTTTCATGAATTCAAAATATCACAGTGACGAGTTGTAATTGCAAACCTTAAATACTCTATAACACGAGATGACCTCAAGCATGTCGGTTTACTGGTTTCTGTAATTGTTCCTCCTGTGAGGTGATACTTCCTCGTGCGACTGTACTTTAAGGTTCAGCCGAGGTAAATATGAGGCTTCAGCAGCCAAACAGAGAACAGTCTCTTCTCAGGTTAGTCAGTTTCTAGTACCTAATGGCCGCTTTGTGTTTCCCCAGCCAGCATTTCCTCTGTGAGGAGACGAGATACTTCCTGGTGGGATCACTTAATGGCCAGTATAGAGAGGAGGAATCATTACCACAAATAACGTTGTCTTAAGCTCCAAAACACACCTCCCCCCAGTGGCGCTAACGCTGGGGTGGCTAAACTTTTTACCATAATGCAATATCATCCGGCAAGGCGCTGCAGTGGCCAATCAATTACGTGCAAAGTGGACACCTTATTTCTAACGATTACCTCGGGATCGTCACAATGAAAGAAAAGTAATTCCTGCTGACGGAGTTGAAAATCCTGTCTCATTAAACCATTGTGTTGTGTTTCAGTCACAAGCCTTCAAACTCAGACCTTTGACTCAAACTAGACTCAAGCTACACGTAACCACTTCCTCTCTCAACGTACGTATGATATAATAACGACACATTTTCTATTGATTAATCCATCAACTATTTACCGATTCATCTAAACGATGAATTTTCCTCAAACAAAATCCAGTTAACCATTTCTTTTAAGTTTGTTTTGACAAAGTGTGGCTATTTCATTGTATGATGATGCATAAAACTAAACGAAATATTCGTTACCCTTGAGTATCAAAATATGCTCCCCATATTCTCTCAGTACACGTTTCCTTGTTTGCAATAAAAATCAAAAGCATTTTTCGACGAGGCAGCATAAATCGTCCCGTTACTCACATGCTCAGAAGACCCCAGCAAAGTCTGCAGACTTATGAGGTATATAATATGAGGATCGTATTAAGAAACTTATCCTTTAAGCCTCGTGTTTCTAGAGCAGAGAAGCCGTATTACTGACCCAGTGTTGGGCTGCCAAGTCCTCCAAAGGCACCAGAACCAAGAGCTCCAAGAGGGGTGAAGGGTGGGGATCGTCCATATGGATCTAAAAAGACAAACGCAGGCAAAACAACAGAAAAACTGTGAATACAACCATTCATTTCTACACAGGCTGTAAGCTGTGCTGAAACTTCTGAAATGTCTCCAGTCAGATGGAAGAACATGGATACAGCGGGTTTAGGAAACTCGGTTTCCATTCATCTGTGAAAGGTCAAAGTAAAATGTGGAGCGGGTGAATGGAAGTGACAGGCGTTTGGCTGTGGTGTACAAGTGGCATACAGATGTGCCTTTTGAAGCTGCTTTTACCCAAGTGTGCAGTTGGTGGTAGGAAAGAGGAGTGGGGCGTCGATGGAGAGATGAAAGGAGCGGAGGACGGATTGACTGGCCCTGAGAGAAAGAAAGAGTGTAAGGAGAAGAAGAAGAAGAATATATATTGTCACCGCTCATCGAGCTGCTCACACACACGGTGACTCAACACAGCGACGCTGTGGAGCCTCAGGGATGTCAAAATGTTTAGACAAGCACCTGCAGCTGAGAACAGACTGGGAGGTCTGGTCAGATCATGAGTGGGAGGCATGGCTCCTCCCATGGGCCCCAGTCCTCCGGCTCCAGGAAGACGGGCCAGCAGGTCACTACGGAAGTCCAACTTTTGAGGATCAGCACGCATCAGCTGAAAGAGACGAGCGTTTAAAGGGTTAACCACACGATCCATTTCTCACTGGGGTGATACTACTTATTCTTTAAATACAATTCAATTGAATTTTTCGAAACACATACCTTCACTTTCTTCTGATGGCTCAGAATCATCCAGGCCACATACACGTGCATAGCACACCACTTTCCTGGTTTCTGCGCAGCACAAAGATCACAAGAGGTTTACTGTGTTATACCTTTTTTGCACACAGAGGCAGATGTTCTTCCCGTTTAGCCGCTACGATAAGGTTCAACCACCAGAGTTCAGTATAAGTTTGGGAATATTTAAAACAAAAAACATCGTGAAAAAAAATACATAAGCGAGGACACAAGAAAATCACGGGGGAAAGAACAACCACGCACATTTTAAAACAGGGTGTTTTCTGGCTTCTGAAATATCTAACTGGGTTCAGAGAACAGACCAGTAGCAGTCAGGATTACAAGTGAGATTAGTGCAAAGAGCGAGTGAAGCAGTGAGAAAGTAAAACAGGCTGAAGCTATTGAAGAGCCAAGGGATTCAAAAACATCTGTTTTTGCTTACATTACTGATTTTCAACGATGTCCCAAATGGATCAGTTAGCTACAAGAAAACACAAGTGTTAAAAACACTTTTAATCCACATATCTCACTCTCTGTGAGGAATAGTTTTAGCTCTCTTCACTGCACTGACTAGGCCCATGTCGCAGCACATCCTAGCCTAAACGTTGGTCGTCCACGTCTGTACAGATCTATGCAAACAGAAGAAGAGACACCTGAAGAGCTTCAGGTTGTAGGTAAGCATGTAGTCCTTACCCGCGGGTCTTTGGGCTGCAGGTGGTGAGGCACAACACCAAGTCGGGCGGAAATATCAGGACCGGCTCCCTGAGAGACAAGAGGCTGTCACACACACGCACACACACACACACACACACACAGTACAACACAAGAACCGTAACCTCCTGATAATTTACTTGTACGGTATGAGTCAGAACAAAACATGTATAAAATGGTACAGCGTATGCACAGCTTAACTGACGCTTATAGAACCAGAACAGATTCTAGAATCACTAGTAAGGACAAGAGTTTACAAAGGTAGAGTCATTATGGAGCCTCGTGGGACGCCTGCTGTGAGAGGGTCAGTGCTTAATTACCCTCCAGTGAGAATACCTAACTGTTATCAAACACACTGCATATCATCACTGAATTGTCACCTTATGGCGAGACAATAATTACAGCACATAATGTGACATTTCCCCAGACAATAGGGCGCCTTGTGGCCGCTCAGGATCATCAACATGTACAACATGTTTCTCACCTTTGGCTGAAATGCTCCTTGCAAGGAGCTGAAAGGCCCAGAGGGAGGAATCACGGGCTGGATACTCGGCACTGAGGGCGGCGGGTACTGTGGGAAGAACTACCCAGACACACACGCGCGCGCACACGCACACGCACGCACACGCACACACACACACACACAGCTTAGTGACTACAGAACAGCTGAGCAACTTAATTAAATCCATGTTGATAGTGCACTTTAAATCTACTTAGGTTGAAATGTTTAAGGCCCTAAAACAGCTGAAATGTATTCTCAGCCTCGTCGTTTGTTAATTAATGTCCTAATTTGTAAATTATCATCACAGACATAATCAGTGAGATTATACAAAGTACTCACAGGGTGTCGGTACAGCCCGTCCATTTTGCCTGGATACTTATCAAACTGAAAGACAAAAACAGCGAGAGGGTTAAAACATCTCGTAAACCGAGCACGGTCCACATTCCAGCCACAGCGGAATTTCAAGTACGACACAGATGTTCAGCACAACAAGGGAGAGCATCTCACCAGAGGCGGTGCGGTGGCTGTGGGGTGCAGGAAGGGCGTGAAGTGTTGGTGCGTGTGCGTGTGTTGGTGCTGGTGGTTGTGCTGATGGAACTGGAAGGCCATAGGCAGGATGCTCGGCTGGTTCTGAGACGTCCGGCCCGACGAACCCGGTCCGGAGGAGTTGGATCCCGACTGACCACCGGGAGTGGAGCGGCCCGCGGCTGCTGCGTTGTTTTCAGCCCCCGGGACGCTGCGTCGGCCGTCGCGCTCTTGTGAATTCAAGAAGTGGGAGTTTAAGTTCTGACGCAGTAATTCTTGGTCTACAGCGGCAGAAATAAGGAGAATAAATAAATAGTTAGTTATATTAAATAAAACTTAAAAATAATTTTGCTACATTATTTTACCAGTTGTAGTTAATTTGACAGACACAAGAGTAACACATTTGTCACATTATAAAGTCTCCAAACACAATACAGTGCAAGGAATGTTATACATGCAGTGCTGGCGTGATCAGACCTGTTTATCAATTCACAACTTCCTCAACAACCCAGCCAACCGCCAGAGGAAGTCTGGGTTTGGTTTATTTTAAGTCACATATTAGTCATTGTGTTCCCATGAACAGCTGAACAGTAAAAGCAGAGAAAAGCAGCATTCCTGTCGACTGTACCTGCTGCAGTTGAGTGGCCGGGACCTTGCAGCAGAGGTGGAGGGGGAGGAAGGCCGGGTGAGGATGCGAACAAGGCCCCAGCGCTGGCTCGGGATGGGGGTCGGAGGGGCCCCGAGGATCCCGAGCCCCTGAGGTAGGGCAGCGACACACTGGTGGAGGGAGTCGGGGGACGCATGGAGGATGAGGAAGACGGAACAGATGAAGCCGATGAGGGAGGTTTGACCGGGGTGTTGCTCCTGAGAAACAAGAAAGTATAAATCACAAATCAACGAATTGAGCCAGGAGAGATCGATAGTAAAAAGAAAAACTAAATGTACACACCTGTTGATGTTGTAGATGGAGTGAGATCGTCCTGGCAAAGTGAGGAAGGGTTTGGGTTTGGAGAGTGGTGGGCTGCCGTTGTGGCGGCCGCCGTTGCCGTTGAACGGGCTGGAGCGCGGGACCGTGCCCGAGGTCGTGACCGGGGAAGGCAGGCAGGAGAAGGGGGCAGAAGAGGTAGAAGAAGAAACAGGCTCCGGGAAATGCTGCTCCAGGTTTTTCTCCTGACTTCGCTCCAGACCGGACACTCTCGGGGTCACCATCAACCGCGAGACGCCGCCACAACGGGCCGGGAGAGGCGGGCAGATCTTTCCGATGGATGTGGCCATATTTGAGGGGGCGGGCTCTACGACTAAAGAAGAGAACATCGGTCAGCTTTATGCCTCTCTTGCACATCACAGCAAAGAGTAACACGAGTATGGGTGGGACAATACTGCACATACAGACATCACAAACCCAAAATGTGAAATATTAATTTGTGAATTTCTCGTACCTTTCCTCGTACTGACTGTGAAGACTGGGTCCATGTCATTGTCGGAGGCCTAGATGGGGACACAAAACATAATTTATACTCAAAAAACACATCACTCATCTATTTCTTATACAGATTGCATCAAGCGTGACAGTCGGTTACGCGACCTAACAAATTAATACTTTAATAATAAATTAACTTAGCAATTGTCAGAGGAAATTGAGTTTATCTTGTTGTGTTCCTATTCAAAAACACCATTTTGTTTTACCAAATAACAGCAACAATGTCACATGTTCATTACCTGATAAGAAACTAAAGCCTGGAATAGATCAGATAAGAGGTAAACAGTACACACCTTGTCTCCTGTGTCACTCTCAGTGTCACACTGAAAGAAGACAAACACAGATTTGCATCTATTAGAATATTTCAGACAACGTAAAGTTTTACAGGAGTTTGCAGAAATGCTGCAGAGTTGCAGGAAATGTATACATCAGAACATCAACTTCATTATAATATTGGAAAATAAACTTACAATGTAGCCAGTCTCCAAAGGGTGTCCCTAGGGAAAAAGAAATATATGTAGTACTTTAAATAAGTTTCAAATAAGAAAAATGGACATTTACAGTGATTAAAATGTTAAAAAGTAAAATAAGTTTATATGATAGTATCTTTCCTGGTTGGAAGGGATTTCCCTGTTTCGTGACTGAAAACACCCTCGAGTTATAGGCGGTGTAAACCAGTTTTACTGGCTCATTCATTCCATGGCTGGATATTCAAGTCAGAAATGTAAACATTTAGCTCAACATCGAACAAGACGAAGGTGGATCCAGAGAAAACATTCAGTCACAAGTCCTCGGTTCACCTCTATCTTTCTCCTTTTATTTTTACTCTTGTTCAAACAGCTGCTGGAGTAGCCGTGCGGGGCTCCTTCCTCCGGCTCCGACAGCGGCCCTCCACCGTTCTCCTCCGGCCCTCTCTTCCCCTTGTTCCTCCTGCCCAGCATATCAGTGCGTTGACTGGGCTTCAGAGAGCAGTCCATCTGATAAGGAAAAAATAAATCAGTGTTTACATGTGTAGCAATAGGCATGAATGTGTATGTCTGAGGGCACAGACCATCGGCTGCATGCGGATGAATGTCCTGACGGAGCCCATTTATGCATAGACTCTACTCTGAGTGACGGCAAAAATAGAAACACCAGAATGATCTAATGAAACACAACAGCCTGCATGACGCTTCAGCTGTTTGTGTGTCGATTCAATTATACGGTGCGCTTTGAGACTTTGTACTTGTGTTGTATTAACCCCATTTAAAAAAATATGACAAAATAAGAACTTGGAGCCTAAAAAAACTACTGTAATGTTTAATCAATAACCTGACAAAACACAAAAGGACAGAGGTATTAAGAGTACACTGTGGTGTATTTAGGTTCCCATCTTTCGGATCATTTATCACCTCCACCTTTCTACATCAGGGGTCAGAAGATTAATCTGAGGAGAGAAAGGAAATGCATCTCTGCTACAAAATATGTTTCCTTTCTTTTTGCAGTTTTTCTGGTGAAATACAGGAAAATATTCCCCCGTTTAACACCCAAAATCATTCAAATTACGTCATTAAAAAAAAAAAAGTAAAACCAATCTGTGATGAGAGGTCTCAGTAGGCGATGCTTCGCTTTAAAAGGGTCAAAAACTAAAAAGATTGGAAATCAGTGACTCATGTGAAAAGACGGTTTGAGTACCGAGTGTTTCTTCATCGAATGTTGAGGAGAAACATGGAGAGTCACCCATTAATGAAAGGGGATTCTTCATATGAAATGAAATGTATAGGTGACTTAGATACAAACAAAGAAATATTTGACACATAAAACAAGTGAAATCAGATGAAACATCTGTAAACTACCAGAAGATGCTGCAGCATATATTCCACGACTACTCTGGAGTTTAAAACTAGGAAAGCGTAAAACTGCCACTTATTGTCACGATTCCATTTGGTTGGATCCTTAAAGGTTTGTAAGTTTGTGTTAAAAAACACAGCAGCTAAAATAGAAAGCTGCATCTGGAATGAAGAATAAATCAAACTGAAGTGCAGGTGGCTCAACATGAAGGTTGCAGCTCGTCTGGTTTTTATATGAATTATCTTCTACAGAATAACTGCGGGTGGTCACTGCTGTTAATAAACTCAGACAGGAAGTTAGAAATTCAGGAAAGGAAATTGCAACATTCCATTGTTTTGCTGGTATGTTTACTTTTTGTTATTGGCAGTTTTAGATAGTAACCAGCCGACAATGGTGGCATTCACCGGTTGATTCGACTGTAAAATCAAGTTACCCATTAGAATACTGGAACCGTCTGTGCTGTGCGTGTAAATATGCAGATTTACAACATAATAATTTGGTTTCCTGTCCTGACGCAGAGGTTTAACGCCATCTGACCCACCCATAAAACAGATTAAGGGATTATGTTCTCATCAGATTGCCAATTGTGCCACATGCATACTTTGTATGATGTATTAAAGCTCCAAAATTCAGCGCGTCAACCAACAAAATGCTGATTTTAGAATCCACATGAGATACTCGTTTTGTCTTGATTGACAGCTGAGCCCTGGTCCAGGTACTTAAAAACAACCAAATCTCTGCTTTTGTGTTGAGTAATATACAATTACACTTGTTTAAATAATGTCTTTGTGATCAGTTATTTCTTTCTTAGTCTGAAAAGCCAATTGGCAGCCCATCAACACCTCTCTGAATTAGGACATGAATAATTGAGGCCTCTCCAGAACCCATCAGAGGGAGGCCTCAGGGTTGGCCTGAGTGGATCCTGAGTGGATCGCTCTCTCCAAGCAAGAAATAGTGTCAAGAGTTGAGTAGTTCAATCTGAAGCCTTTTCACAGCTTCAGCTGGAGGGAGGAAGGCAATGATTAAAAGTAGTCAATCAATTATAGAAATCAATTAAGAGGATTGTGCCAAATGATTGGCACACTTCATTAAAGAGAGATTAGGAAAAAACAAATAGGTGCCGTTTTGTGAGTGACAGCTGGGTGTAAACATGTGGAAATGTAGATATTTACCTCCAGTGCCTCCAAGCTGACAAAGCTCGCAATAGCGAAGCCATCGATGATGTCTTCCTCGCAGGACACCGACATCTCTCTCTTCCTCCGGCGTGGAGGCCTGTGTCTCCCGAAACCGGGCCGGCATTCTCTCCCACCGGGACCCAGCACGTTGTTCGTCCCACGATCCTCCCGATCGGAGCCCGAGGACAGGGATGTGGCCCCCCGCTGCTGCTCGGACAGGTCCACTCTCCTCCTCCTCCGACGGTCCCTGTCGCGCTGTGAACGGGACCGTCGGCTCTGCCGGAATCCAGTGCTTCGGCTCGGGCCCTCCATGTCTCAAACAACACCTTCTCCTTTTTGTAAGCTCCAGTGAGAAACCAAAAAGGCAAATAAAAACACCACCACCACACAGAGGCCCTGTTAAAATGGCGTTAATGGAAACGAGTGGCTATTATTTACCGTCCTTTGACAACACTCTATCGGCACCAGTAGTGCCTCTCTTTCGGCGGAATTTTAGTGTCATTTCCAATGAATCTGAACGCAAACTTCAGCTCCACGTGGAGGATTTTAAAAAAACATCCACGAGACACACACTTAACTTAAATGTCAGGACATAGCGGACTGTGTCAAGAAGAAGGCTAACAGTAGCTATAGCTAGCAAGAAATTTAAGTTATACGCATGTAAACAAAAATAAAAAAGACAAGCCTTAGTTGTGCTATGGACGAAGCAGGTTAAATCGGCTCTAGATAAATTTCTTGATTGCTCAATACAACTCTTGCGCGTTGAATTTACTAAATTTTCTGCACACGCTGACACATTTATTAGCAAAAATGATACGGTTAGCTGGTTTAGCTAGTTAGCAAGGCCAATAACCCAGATATCAGACGTTAAACACACCGGTGGCCGTGACATTATTTACGTATTCATGTGAAATGTTATTATTGACAACGACTGTGATTTACTCCTAAGTCAAACAGGAAGTAAAAATTAGCTGTCTTGTTGAGTTTAAGTAATGCTAACGTTAGGTCAGTGTTGATTCCACCCAATTAGCTTTTAGCTCATTTAGTTAGCATGTTAGCTAACTCGATACGTTACAATATATATTCAGCCAGCGGACCTTTAAGAATACAACTATATTCTTAAAACGCGTCTGGAAAGAAGCATGACAAGCCGGACAGTTTACTGTGAAGCTAACTAATATTCCGCAGCCAAGAGAATATAAAAATGTTTTCTCCTGCCGAAAATGTTGATGGCCGATAGTAATGGTTGAATTCACATCAAAAGAAAGACGTAACGTTAGCTTCTTTGACTAGCTAGCGTTAGCCGATTCCAGCTGTTAGCCACAAGCAACCTTTCAATTGTTTTTTAAAGGAAGCAGGAAGAAAACGTTTTTCTTTACACGCAACTCTTCTTTCGTTCCACCTCCATCATAAAGGAGAAGAAAAAAAAAATCAAGGCCCAAATATCAAAGCCTCGGTGTCGATTTCCATAAACGAGGGTGTCGGCCAAGCCCCCGTCGGGCTGGGCAGCTCCTTCATGCAGCAGCCTTCGCTGTGTAATCCAATGTTTAGGATTAAGTTGGGGGGACCTCTCGCCGACGTTTCCGTTCAAAAGATGTCTTAATTCTCACTAAATCCAGAGCACACACACGGATGGAGGGAGAGCTGCTGCCCCGTCACAAGTTTCCACTGAATTGGAAATTTATCGTGAAAATCATCCGAGAGACACAACCCTAGTCAGTCCGAGCAGTGCATTGTGTGCGCCACTCTTCTTCACCCGGTCATCAGACGGGCTCCTCGGCAGCTCTGCTTCTGCGTACTGCCGCCATGTGGAGAAGGTCTGTGGAGCTATAAGTATTTTTTTATTATTATTAAGGTATTTTTTTATTGTTTTTTTATTGTGCACATTGTATCATAGGTCCGAAAAGAGGAGAAAAAATATGAATATCTGGAGGACATTTTTATATGATGTAATGCTAAAAATAAATGCTGCATATCATACAACATAAAGATAAGATCAGATAAGATCAGATAAAATCAGATAAAATAAAATATTCCTTGATTAGTCCCGCAGCAGGATTACAGCAGCAAAGTGGATAGTGACCCATAAGCATAGTCAAACATCCATAAAATAAAATTAAAAAACACAAATTAATGACAGATAAACTGCTAATATTTTCATGCCGTCAGCTTCCGTATATTCAACAAAGGTTTAAAAAAATTCTACCAAGTATGACATTTCATAGTAGATCCTCTGACAGTATCTCTGATCTACTCCAGTGTAGAATACATGACTTCCCTCATCCAGGGACGACTTGTTGGTCTTTCAATCTAAACAATATCAGTCTCTGTCCTCACCAGCAGAGAGAACAGAATGCCAACAAAAAGATTTCCCTCAAAAAAATCCTGGAGAAGGTCTCAAACATGGTTTGCCAAAATATGTAAAGAACCCAGACCAACACTTTTAGGATGAAATGGAGACAGTCAAAGTTTGTGTGTGGAGACAAAGAAACACAGAACAAGACAGAAACAAATAGAAAACATGACAAAATGTACAAGAGTCAGTATGATCCGATGTTCTTTTATTAAAAATAAAACGTCCTACTTATTTGCATTTTAAAGAAGCAGTCTGGTGTTAAGTATTCCACGTTTTTCTTACTGTCAACAAATCCCAGTATAGAAGAACCTGGGCCCCAGTTATCACTTTGTGCATCCTCTATTCCTTTCCTCACCTCCTTTCCTTACATCTTAGTCCCACCCACGGGAGATGTGAGCGGACGAGACGAGGAAGAGACGCGAGGAGAGAGTAGTCGAGGCAACAGGCATTCAACAAAATGAGACATTCAGCGATGGAGATTAAATAAGATGTGTGGCACGGCTGCATCATCTGTCCATTGTTCAACTTCCGCGAAGGACACATCTGTGCATCCTCGCTCATAGCTCCTCTAGCAAGCCTCCTCTCTCCTCAAGATGCATTCTAGGAATTGGGATGGAGCACTGAGATTGATTTCCGGGTCACAAGGAGACACAAAATCGGGAAATGAGAACAGTCAAATGTGTTTTATGTCTACCAATACTTTCAGACTTCCTACTCTTCTTTAAACTTAAATCTTTCAAATCTGGTCACAAATGGATAGTTTCATTTTTAATAAAAAGGCTCAGTTACTTCCTAAATCTGCTGGCCACTGTAGTTTTACACAAACATCACTCAAACAGGATGAAATAGTGCATTTGTTGGGGACTATTTTCAGCAGCGGATTAATCCACCTTTAGTGTTCCAGTGAGTATATGTAGCAGCAGGATGGTGTATGTGTGATTGAGTCAGAATAAACTACAGTGTGTGTGTTTATGGTGATGAAGGAACAACAGTGAGGCTCATCAATGTGTTTTTAATGGAGCTCTATGGCTCAGAGGAAGAATAAATGTCAAGCTTTGATATACAAACAATACTTTTTCGCAGATAAATTCATTGTTGGAATTTGCTGAGAAGAAAAATATAGAATATCATCATCCTGGACCGGAGGAGCAGAGAGGAGAAGCTCTGCTCCTGGAGGAGGAGGAGACGCTGCTGCTGCCAGGAGCTGAGCTCTCCTCCTCCCTCCGGAGCTCCGACTGCAGTTCCTCACAGTAACTTTAAGGTGGTCATTGTCCGGTGGACCTCCTGGAGGACAGAAGAGCGTGCAGCAGAATGCCTGAAGCCACAGAGACGT